CACTAGACTCTTTTAAAAAGCATCTTGATGCAGTGATGAGGGGATGGCGGGGTACGCGTTCTGGATAGATGAGATTGGATGAGCCATAGGGCCTTCTTCAACCAGACCGATCTTGTGATGTTTGTTCATATTTCCATAGATTGGTTTATTCAAATGTTCTTGATTCAACATTGGCTAGTTTCCTGATACTGTATTAATTGGCTTAAGTGTAGATAGATGGAATCGACAAACATTAGTTTGTATTGCCTTTTACCTTTTCCCTTTCCCTAATATAAATACTTTGCCCAGTAATGCAGTTGCCAACTAATAAATGTAAACTAATAATAGAAAAACTATATTTAGGTACTTGTATAAAACTGAATCACTAAATGAGTTGCTTCTGTACATGTTTGTAAATAGGCTTAATGTCTTGATCATTCAAACACAGTCAATTTGAATTGTTACACCAAGTATTTATAATCGGATAGTGAATTGGCTGATTCTAGTCATATCTATTGTGAATTATTTTTATAACCTGATTGAGGAAGGGCTTTTATACATGCTAGAGTCGGGGATAACCATCTACCTCAGTATGAGTGAAAATTAAAATTTATATGAATTGCCTTATTTTAAAATGGTTAGGTTTGCATTACTCCTGATGATGGTATCCTAAAGAAAGTTTCTGATTGAAGTTATTGATATACCACTTTTGAATATGAATTTTTTTTTGCACATTTTGTTTAAACAACTTCAATGTTGATTTTAAAAAATGTGTTTTAAAAAAAATCTTTGCTGCAATATTCTGAACCAAAAAAGGCATTGTCACTCTACACTGATGTCAGGAACGTCAAAATGAAAGGCCAAGGGCATTTGTCATAGCTTATAATAGAGTTTGAAGAACATCATTCTTTTCAGAATTAGGCCAATTAGCGTTGTCAGGATTATGCTTACTGTAGATTGAAATGAATATTTATGAGTCAGATGAAATGGCTTGTTTACAGATGTCTTTGAACCTGCAGCACCAGTGAGAATTAAGATTTGTTCGAGTATACTTTTCCAGCCTAACATGTCATAAAAAATATTTAGCGTGTCAAATAATAGCAATTTTGAAACCGTATCAACTTTTTTTCTATCGGAAGACTGTTTTGATAACACGAGCCTCTATACTGTATATATTTTTAATAACCTATAAAGCCATGTTTCTGCACTATTTTAAGTAATTACCATGATGTACAAACCAATATTAATGACCCTTTTTGATGGTAAGCGGAGTCTCCTTGGAGCTGAACTAGCTCCAAGTTTTTGTTGATGACAGCACAGGCAGGTGAGCTTATCGGCAGAACTTGGAAGGGCAGACCAATCATTGGGGGGGCAGGGATTCTTAGAACGTAGCTTCCGTTAACCCTACAAGCTAAATCCCAAATGGGAAGGGAGGTCCTAGTTGGACAAGCAGCAGAAAAGTTTGACAGGCAGTGCTCTCATGGCAAGCTATACAGTTTTACTGCTGGTGTACATTCATTCCAACTATCTTATTTCTAGAATTTCCATGTGTAGGTGGGATGCATGAAATTCTCAGTTTGGTTTGGATACTCTTAAGAATGGTGATGGGATCCGATTGTGTCAGATTCCCGGCTGTTGGAAGTTCCAAGTGGTCTAAGGATAGATGGGCACTATGTCAGATGATGGAATTATCATTTAGATCCATGACTTGGTTTATCTGACACTTAATCTAATTATATACTGTAGTGTAGATGAGACTGTACAGCTGTTACATACAGAGGGATGAAGAATTGCAATAGTTCTTCCTTACAGACATTATTACAATTACAAATTGGTAATTGGTCAATTGGTTTTGGCAGTTTGTCTTCCAGTATTGACACAGTATTTTCCTTGGGTGTCTTCTTTCAATGTCTAAATGTACACTTTGTAGCACAGGTTACTGGATAGTGATCAGGAACTGAAGGATTGCCTGTTTTCTCCTTTACCCCTCCACCCCCCCGCCTCTCTAACTTCATGGGCATCTGAAATTAATTGTGGCACCCTGGTTGACTTAGCTGTCTAAGATCAGTTAACTTGGCACAGATGATTTGAAACAGTAACTCTTCCACTCTGTGCTGCTGCTCTTAGCAGAACATTTATCCACATAGTCATTGGAAGTCTAGAAACCTAATTGTACATGGAAGTGTGAGATAACTATCTGATATTGTTGAGTGGATAACTAGACTTTTTTTTAACATTTCTAAATAATTACTGTATAATGGCTCTAATTGGAGCATGGTTTTGTGTTTGCGCTATTAAAGGTTTTTTTGCATTAAATTTAAAGAGCACATAAAAATAAATTTACTACTCCTTGTGAGAGTCGCAGTATACCAAGGAACGTTTGATGACAGACCAGTCAGCCAGGACTTGGAGGGGCATTACTGGGGGCAGTGATTCTGCAAATCCAAATTCCTGATGGGTGGGATGGTCTGAGCTGGACAAGTATTGGGCACTTGGCAGACAGTATTCACAATGGCAAGCTATGTAGTTTTAGCTGGTTAAACTTCAACAGTTCCCCACTGCATCTGGGGTCCTCAAGCCTTTGCTTTTATTAACATGTACTTTGAGATGCCTCAATGATATGATAGAGCCTATATCAAATGTAAGGATTATTATTAATACTTTCTGGAATAAGTAAGCAGAGCATTCACTTCATTTCTGATGCAGGGAAAGTCATATGTTGGTGAAATGCATATCTGGTTTGGAATTTTCAAGCATGGCAGTGCATTCTACATGTGTCAGTTCACCTGATTGACCGAAAAAGGATACCGATTGCCCTTTATCAAAATATCTTGACAAAATGTTTTTGTTACTGATTTAATCCATATCAACCTTTGCACAGAGGTATGTTTCTTTGTTCACTGAGCAATATATAATGACATACAGAAATTGTCACATGGCTAAATCAAACAAGCTGAGTCCTTTTTACGTAGTTACGTAGCCTAATTACGTAGCTAAGTCTTGGGCTCAGATGCACATTAGGAAAATCCCATAATCGTAACATCATGAAGTTGACAAAATAACTCGCACATGTTTTGTGAAGGCCAATTCATATACAGTACTTTCAAAGTACAGTAAAACTCACTTTCTAAATATCTTTATAAATTCTAAGCTGTACAGCTACCTGAATCCCATTAAGTTTCCTCCGAACATTTTACAGAAATGAGGGAGTTTAAACTGCAAATAATCCAGCATTTAGAGGAATACTGGTTTTGTTCCAGACTAGTAATTTTGAGTGGCACCTATTTTTAAATGACTTGTTTCTCTTTACCTTCTGTTTCCTCTCTTCTTTTCCACGCCCTCTTCCCATTCAAAGGCTTCATTTTAGGTGAAGGTGTAGTATGGATGTGCTGTACTATGGAGTACGTCCCATCAGCAGACATGTTTTTGCATGCTAATTGGGAGTGGCATTCTTCATTGTTAATAGCATTGCAGCTCAACAATAATTAAAATAGCTACTCACAATTGTGTCCGAAGTGCTGAAAACGCTCCTGTCCAGAATATGTTCTGTAGGAACCCATTTATCAGTGCCTTTGTTACATCTGCTTATCTAAAATGAGTAAATTATACAGATAACTGTAGATTGTGCTTTGCCTGTGCTTGTTCCTGTGAAGTACAGAGGATGTTTGTTACATTGTGACATTGACATTAAGTTGCAGCTCTTTGCAGTCTGACCTCTTATATCCTGAATCCCCAACTAGTGATAGCAATCAAAGATGACATTATCCAGCTATCTTTCCCTGAAACGCTTCAACATTTTTCACAATGGATGCAGTATATTTCCAAATGCATACATTATAAATTCCAATGTTTGTCACTTGAGTTATACAGATGTTGTGAAATGGATATTAAATGGGATATTTAGCTTTCTTGCCTCATCTTGACACACTGGAAGCTAACATTATTAGTACAGGTCCTTGGTTTCCATGATAGTTTAAGGGCTTGAGCCATTGTCTCTTCTCTATTCTCATAATTGACTTCTATTAACATCTGGACAGAGCAAATACGTGTTGGGTTGATGCAAGTTCAATGCATATTTAATGCAATCTGTTCTTGAAGGGAGGTTATACCAGGAGCATTTTGACTGAAGAGAAACTGAAATTCAGTAAACCTTTGGGTTACAACTAGAACTGTATTTTTTCTGTGATGAACTTTAGGGAAAATGGGAAATGTTTTTTTTAAGAATATCACAAAATTGTGCTCATTTAACTGCCAGTTAGTTGGTATGCTGTTATCATGGCGAGAATATCATTTAGCATTATTAACCAGAGTAAACTGAATTCTAAATTGGTAAAATCTCTGATAAAAGTATGTGTGTGCGTGCGTTGCATAAACCACCTTGAGCTTTAAACAATGTGCCTTTGATGTTCCACATAATGAGCCAAGAGGATGCAACTTGCTAAAAGTGATGTAATTGGATAACAATTCTGCATTTCTGACATTGATAAGATCTGAAGGCCTTTCTTGCTCATCATGTAATGTAGAATTTTTAAAGACACTTTGACTAGGACTTGGGCAGAACCACATTGACAACCCAGATGAATTATGCAGTGAAATTGTGTATCTTTTCAGAACTGCACTGTTGGAATATTGCCATAGGAGTTATATTGGTGATCTGTTTTTCCTTATTCTCATAACAGCTGATTATTGTATTATCTGGCTTCTTGTGATTTTGGATGGTTGATCAGATAATGTTTGCTGATCATATTTTTCAATATAGTCAGTAAATTAATTGATTGAACTTGGGAAGGTTACCTTATAGCATGCCATAATAGTTCTTTGTTTTTACAGTTTATTTTGCTAATTCCATATTTGTTCCTTTGTTTTTGACCTACTATAATTGCATTTTCCACTGTTCCAGATTTATTGGGAAATGAATCTGGCACTAGACTAGTTCAAGTGGTCACTTGTGGTTTTTGTATTTAAAATTTTGTTGTTGTTCAAATCAATCTTCTGAACTAATTCAAAATGTTCTTTTTCAGGGCAAGTCTTATGTGTTTGACCATGTTTTCCAACCAAATTCATCACAAGAACAAGTGTACAATGCCTGTGCAAAAAATATTGTCAAAGGTGGGTCAAATTAATGAAAAATTTCTTTTATGATAAATTTCCCTTTTTGGAATTGGCTGAATTTTGAGTTGCACAATATATTATTGCATCTAGGTAGTGCAAGGTGCTTGGCAAAAATATACCAAGGAATAAACAATGGAGATATTGATTTCACTATTCATAGGACTGATATTTTGCATGTGGAAATATACATTTTACATATCAAACATTTTACATATCAAACAATGAACTGGAAGACCCATGTTTGGAAAGCTACTGGAAGGATTTATGCCACATTTACACTGCGGGTTGGTCAACAACACATCTCCTGCTGTCAAGGGCAGACAATTTAAAAATTAGTAAATTACCCTGAGTCGTCTGACAGAATCTTTTTTGACTGTCAAATTTATTTTCTCATTGCGGCTTATGCTCAGAGGCAACAGCAATGACATTATAGGCATCACGAGACTTCAATTGTAGAGGATAGAACCCACAATTTTCTGCAAAGCCCAAGAACAGTCCCCCACAATATTTGGAAAATATTTCCGCACTTTTCTATTGGCCCGGCTTATGAGTTATATAATAACAAACCTTGGGATAGCAACATGTAGAGATGTTGTCAGCCTATTGATATGAAATATTTTCAGATTTAGACAATACATGGTGACCCAAATGAAGACCATTAGTGCATTATAAATGGTGTAAAATGGATTGAATACAAGAGTGTTATTTAACTGAAGAGCTCAATTGAAGTTTGAATTGCTTGAGATTCAGGATTATCTGAAATAGTGTACTCTTTCAACTATTTGTTAAACGTATATCCTATTTTAGGCAACTTTTCTACATCATATTTTAACATGCTGTAATCTTGTGGTAATAGTTTCATTGCTTCAGTGTTCTGGTATGTTAGTGTCAGCATCTCTAAGCAATGTGCTACAATCACTAGCTGCTGCCAATTTTTGCAGTAGGCATTGGACACCGGGGAAGAGCAACTTTAAAATAAAGAATTGTGCTTTTTTTAAAATCTGAAGAGTAATTAGAAGACCTGATGAAAGGGATAACAGATACTTCTGATCCTGTGCCCTGATTTCCTTATGCTGTAATACTGCTACTTCTGATATTTCTTATTAATGTGATTTGTGTAAATTTGCATTGCATTGAAATACACTTGTCCATCTCCCTCTTGAAAGATATTTCTTATTAATGTAATTTGTGTAAGTTTGCATTGTACCTTTCAACTTTGATAATGATTGGGTAAATCCAGTTTCTAAATAAAAGCTTGCTAATTTCAAAACACTCATTTTTTCCCCCTAAATTTGCTGCCTATTGTAAGTTAACCTGTTTTTCTTGTGCTTCATGCTATGGTGCAATGTCTTAAAGGGGAAAGTAGAGTCAAGGAAGCAACATTTGTTATTCAAATACCTTTTTCTCAAAAGCTTAAAATAAATTACCTTCTTGCCTTGATTTTTGTACTCTAGAGGCCTCTTTTTCCTTGTAGTCACTTTCTTGGTGTAGGTTTACAGGGAATAGTTCTATCATTTTATAAGTGTCATTAAGGACTCTCCTGGGTGGGAAAATGATCAAAGCTTTGGTCCTTGAGAAAATTACTACTCATTGATTTACAGAGCCAAAGATCTGCAGTCTGATCCAAAATGCCTCGCCTATAGCTGCAGGCCAATTGGAGTGGCTCTGCAGAGAAGCACAGGCATTAAATGTTGTCATGAATGATTTTTTTAAAAAAAATGGATAATCCATCCAAGCATATCTCGAGAGTTTCTGGGAACAGAATAGTTTGAAAACCAAATCTTCTTTTCTTATTCCCCTCCCTCCTTTCCCCAAAAGAATATAATCATGTTTGGTAATGTTCAACAACTGGCACTTGTGTAAGAGAATATCTTAGTAGGCTGGAGAGTTGGCGAGGAATAAGGATCTTGAAGTTGAATGCTACCCTGCGTGAGGGGTGCTATATAAATACAAGTTGTGGTTACTGGGGAATATGAAGCCAGTGGCGCCTATCAAGGATTGAAGTAATGGTTTTTGTGGGAAGGATTCCTGACCAATTAGGATGGTGGAGGCAGATTTCTTTGTAGCTTTCAAGAGGGAGATGGACAGGCATTTGAAAGAGAGCGGCTTGAAGGGCGATAAATGGTGATAAAGCGAGGCTGTGGGATTGTACTGTGAGCTAGCGCAAGCATGATGGGCCAAATGGTCTTGTGCGCTTGTAGATTTATGTTTCACTTATGACAGTGAAGAGAACAATTGAGAAATTCTGGAAGTGACAAAGGCAATGGATGAGGTTTCTGCTGCAAAAGAGTAAGGTAAAGACAGAGGCAAGCAATGATGCAATTGTGGAGGAAAGCAGGCTTGGTTAGGGACTGGATGAAAGGCATAACGGAGAGATGGGGGTCAAATAAAATGCTATGATATTCTCACTGGCTCCCTGAGCTAGATTGAACAACCTGGGAAATGAAATGGAATCAGAACCAGAGGCGAGGAGGAATTGGTGGCTTCAGTTTTGTAAACATTCAGTTGATGGTCAGTCTGCTCAGACAGCAGGGCCACTGGAGTTGAGGTTGGAGGCAGAGGTAGAATTGGGTGTTAATCATGAAAGTGGACCCAATTCCTACAAATTATGCCAATGAACATACAGATGAGGAAAATGTTGGAAGTTGGCATGTGTAAGAGTGGAACTGGGAAAGTGAGGTCTACAATACTATGCACCTCTTTACTAAACCATTAATTGAATATGTAAGTAACTGGCATTTCCTCAGGATTTTCATGTCTACAGACATGCTTCCATCTAATAATAGAGAACAAAAATTATTATTATTACCCTTAATCTAGAGAACAACATGCCCACCATACTGACCTTATATGTTTTGCACAATGATTGGAATCTCTTCAGGATCAGGCAGGATATAAGTCTCCATTACCAGACTCATCAGAAGATCTCTTATTAATGTTGCAATGGTTTTCACTTAGTGGGGACAGATTTTAAGTGGTAATTGGTAAACAAATTTTGATGGGGACACACTTCAGTCAGTATACAACCAAAATTCTGGTTGAATTGATGGGTAACTTAAGTGACAATTTTTCTACTTAAATGCGCTTAAATCTGTTTTTGTTTCTGCGATTGCCTGAAATATTGCCTTCTGGCACAGCAGGTTCTGCACATTTTAGATTGAATTCTTAGTAACTAACTTATATACAACTTGTGAGCTATATAGAAATATTTGATGAATACTATATAACAGTCGTTATCTTAATTGTGAAACAGCAACTTTCTTTGATGTGATATTTTGAAACTAGTTAAAATTAACTTCCAAGATTTATTGTGGTTATTTGTGATCATTTTGTATTGATTTTTTTTCTGCAGATGTGCTTGATGGGTACAATGGCACAATATTTGCATATGGTCAGACGTCCTCTGGTAAAACTCACACAATGGAAGTAAGCTTTTATTTTTTCCTATTCACCTATCTGTTAACTAATGAGATTCCTAGCGTTTAATACTTCATTGCCCTACTTTATCACCATTGTGCACCACCCGCCCTCTTCCACCCCCAAAAACAGTGGAGATGTTTGAAAAGGATCCAATTTAGTCTGAAAAATCGCTCGTTCTCTGCGTGATATTACATGACTTCTCAACCAGTGTTTTGGTCATCTTTATACCCCTGTCCTCCACCCATCCTAATCCCATCCCCCAGCTCGGGTCCAAATCCCTGACTGTCCAGTGCGTTGGGATGTCCTCCCGGCATGAAAAGGCGCTATACAAATGTAATTTGTTGTTGTTTCTCAATTTATTTGATATTTTCTTCTGAAAATATGGTGGATTACTAGTAAATGCGCCTGTTAAATTACTCAGTCTGAATCCATTTCTGGTAGAGACCAGCTGGGAGATTACCATGGATTGGCACCAGTTTTTGGACGTGTTGTTGAAAAATAGTTCTAGGATAAATGGAATCCGTATGATTTCTAAGAAAGTAGTACAAAATCACATTTATCTGTCGGTGCAGACTGAGCTATATGTTTTGTTTCGAAATATAAATGGGATATTTTGGATGAAAGAAAACCATTGTTTGCTACTGCTGAGACTTTGTTCCATTATCATAAATATATTATGCACATCTGTTAATTCTAATTATAGGGAATACTTCACGATCCTGATGGTATGGGAATTATTCCAAGAATAGCACAGGATATATTTAACTACATTTACTCCATGGATGAAAATCTCGAATTTCACATTAAGGTATGTGGACTGAATTCAAATTTTTTCCCCCAAGCAGCTTTTTTATAGTAACTTTATCAAACGTTTTTGAACAATTTGTAAATGGATACAGGGGAACCCCAGTATAGTGCCCTTCAATATAGCACTGCTTTACTGAGCCTACGGTGGATCCTTGCTAACCAGAAATGCAATACACCTGGCTTCTGGCACTGGTTAGCTGGCTTCCCATGGGGAAAAAAAAGATGACTTCCAGGTGGTTGGGTCTTTGCTGATATCACTTTCTGTGCAGTGTGAGTCTGCACAGGAAACACCACTAATGTTGGGGGGGCTGGTGTGTGTGGGGGGTGGGGGGGTGGATGGCGTGTGTTAGGGGGGGCGTGGATGGGAATGGTGGGCGGGTGGGTGCGGGGAGGGCTGGTGGGTGTGGGGGGGATCTCTGCATCCCTATTTTTTCCCCCAATTTTCCATCGTGTCCAAGGGTTTCCGTAGTTTGTGGGTTTGCCCATGGAGGGCCAGTGGGGGATTTAAAGTGAGAAATAGAAAAAAATATAGATAACCCTGGTGTGGGATATATCCAGAATTAAGTTATCCAGGGGTTAGGTTGGTTGGGCTTAATTGAATCATTTGGTCAGCAAGCCAAATCAGGAAGTAAAATTTACCATTTACGGTTTTATTTAAGAAGTTTAGCACAATATGCCACAAAGAAATATATTTTGTGTTTGAACTAAATTGGATTCAGTCCAACGTATTTTTGATTTTAATATGCATTTGCAATTTGTTTTGAGATAAACTTGTGCCATGATCTCTTTCAGGTTTCGTATTTTGAAATTTATTTGGACAAGATTAGGGATCTTTTGGATGGTAAGGCTTTTCATTTTCTCAAATATAAATAGATTTGACATTCATTTTTAGAAAGGAAAAAAAGTAGGATTATGCCTGGTTATTTAATAACTTTAATTATATATTTTCCATTTCAAATATTTCCATTAGTATTATGTTAAGCCATTTCCTCCATTCTGTTGTAGTTCTGGTTCTAAGACAATTATTACAATTTCAATGTCAGCAATTGATGCTTAACCTTCTTGCACAATAATCTTATCAAGTATAATATCCTTGCATTCTACGTGTGCCTATAATATTGAATATCCAAAAGCTCAGAACAACAAGGCTTCTCTAAAATGTAGTGATTATTTAAAGCAAACCCCTTACAATATTAAGATTATAATAAGAAATAACACACCTGTAGATTTCAAACAATTGTGCTACAGTATTTATTTTGCCATATCCTTGTATGGCAGTGGTTAAACCAAAGTGGGTGTTTCGTATTACATTTTTCAAGAAATTGAAACTGTCAGGTGACTTTACATTGAGATTATGAACTGTTTGCCATGAAAGTCATTTTTTTGTTATCAAAGGCCATGATTCTATGTCAGAATGATCAGCTGCTTCTTTAGATAACCCTGCCTGTCCACAGGCGATCTACAATTATTTTAAATCTTCAGTGTCCTAGAATTACCCTAAACCGTTTTTGATCCTTGTAGATAAAGAAACCTTCATTTTATAATAAACCTTAGCAGAATTTTTTTTCTGTGTGTGTGAGTTAATTGGCAGTGTAATCCAGAGCCAGAATCTTGGGCCAGATATCTTATAGTCTGAACAAGAACCTCTTATAGAACTATATATTAAAATAGCAGAAATCCACATGGATGTCATTATATGAAAAACAAAAATTACATTTGTATAGTGACTTTCACATTCGGGAGAACGTCCCAAGGCACTGGACAGTCTGGAATTTGGACCCGAGCTGGAGGTCGGAATCAGGGAGGGCAGGAAGGTAGCCGAAGGCATTATCGAAGAGGAGGGTCTTGAGACGTGCCTTGAAGGATATAATACTATAAAAATTAAGTTTAATTTTTAAAATGAAGATTTCTTTATCTACAAGAATCAAAAACAGCTTAGGATAACTAGGACATTTAAGATTTAAGATAATATATACTAGAAAAATTGAAGTGGGACATTGAAACTTTAACCAGTTTACTGTTATTGTGGTGTCATATTTTGATATTTGCTGTTACAATATTTTGCATCATTCTGAATAGACCTACAATGTGAGGTCTATGACATTCTCACAATATATCTGTATTTAAGAAATCATAAGACTCATCTACAGTCTTTTATGTAATAGTCTTTGTACAATGAACATTTAAAAATGTCTAGAATAATGGTTAAATTTGTATTTCTGTGACTTAATTATCAATTGTTTCTCAAATCCAATGAAAATTAATAAATGTGAGCCTGCAATGATGATATAGAAGCGTGAAATCTATATGAATATCTTTTTATATTGTACAGAGTTTCTTAAGTTTAACATTTAGTAACATTTGAAAGTACTAAATAATTAGCTGGGTGTATTTCACACGGAATCTTCAGATTTGTGCCACTTCACCTTTGCTCTTGTGGTTTCAGCCATGATGTAACTGTCTGTGCTCCCAGAAATGATTGATTGAATGACTAGCCTGCCTGATTCAGACAGGTAGACTTGTCACTTGCCTTTGCATCCGAAGATTGTGGTTGCAAGCCTTGTGATAAGACTTCAGTGAAGGCTGACACTGGGGGAATGAAGCTTTGTTTGAACTAGTGTCATTGAATGAGACATTACACCAATGTCCTATCTGCAAAGCAATTTGAACTTAAACACAAGTTGAAATGTTGTTGAAATATTAGGAACATTTGATATTAATAATAATAATTTGATATTATTGCCAGAGTAAAGGGTTTTAATATCTTTCATTGCTTGTTAATATCTGAATTGTGCACAATGATCAAATAGCCATAGATGTGCTTTTGAATTACTGTTCACATAACAGAAAACTCTGATCTCATTCATGTTTATGGTAAACTGGGTTGTTGCTATGGTAATAAATAGCCCTGTCAGGCTACAAAGTCAATTATGTGGATGTTTCAAACACAATGACAGACTCGAAATCTTAATCCTGTAACGAAAATATTGCCATCATATTGGAAATGTTTTTCAAAGAATAACTTTCTTCAATACAGATTGTCAAAAGTTAACATTGAAAAGCCAATATCATGAACTATATTATAGTAGACGATTCTGAATGTCCACAGAGAATTCGTTGTAATTAAGTTTTGCATCCGTTTGGTCATTTTAAAATAGGAATGGGATAAAGACTCGATGACACCAGTGGTGTTCTGTGTACTAGAACAGATATTGGCTTCAACAACAACAAAATGATCTTTATATAGTGTCTTTCACGTCAGGAGGATGTTCCAAGGCACTGGACATTCTATTCAACAACAACAATTTGCATATGTGTGTGTGTATATATATATATATATATAAAGTGCTTCACAGTTTAGTCTGAGCTTGGGGGTTGGGGGGAGAGAGGAAAGAAGATGGATCAAAAATATAATTTAAAAGATGGGTCTTAGGATGACCGGTGGGAGGAGGGATAAGGTGGAGGGACTCCAGGTTAGTGCCAGAGAGCAGGAGCAGAATGGCTGAACTCACCCACTGATGATGGGGGCGGGGACATAAAGTAGTCTGGTGTTTTAATAATAAAATAATCCTTGCATTTGATATAGCTCCTTATCATGTCTTTAAGAAGTCTCAAAGAGCTTCATAGAATATACTGTAAAGCAAATTGACTATATTTTGTGGGCGAAACGCAGCAGTCAATTGCACACAGCAGTGTCCCACAAACAGTTGATTGAAATGACCAATTTATTATGATTATTTTTTTCGAAGGATTTATTACTCTTGGAAAAGTGATCCGCCAATTGACTAACTGCCAATTGACTAACAACCAGGTTCCTACTTACTGCTGGTAAACAGGCGTGTGAAGAAAGGAAACTTACATTTCGCCCTCCCGGAAATCGAACCCAGGTCTCTCGCTTGTGAGGCGAGTGCTCTAACCACTGAGCTACAGAACTCCACAAGTGTTCTGAGTGAAGGGAGCAGCTGGCGCAGTAGGGTTGCAGGCGGTCACATGAGCTGCAGAGTTCTAGGTAATCTCAAGTTGGTCTAGATACTCTCTGGACTAGGGAAATATCTGGAGTCCAGAGAGCTGAGCATTGAAATAATCAATCCTGGGCCTGATGGAGGCACCTGCCTATGGGGAAGAAGCAATAATAATACAATACTAATAATCCTTGCGTTTGATATAGTGCTTCATCGTGTCTTCCAGACATCTCAAAGCGCTTCACAGGATATACTGTAAAGTGCAGTGACTATATTTTGTTGGCGATAGTAGTGGTGGATGCAGATGATGTTGCTCAGGTGAGGGAAAGCATAGATAGCGAAAACATGGATGTAGAACTTGAACGATAGTTGGAGTCAAAAAATTCTGCACCAGCTTCATGAGGTGGAGTGAGCATCCATGCAGTTTGATGCTGTCAGCGATTGAAGTAAGAAGGTGCTGACTTGAGCCGAGTAGAAGATCCTCGGTCTCGTCTCCTTGAAGCGCTCCGAGATGCTACCCCACGTGAAGGGCACTATATAAACACAGCTGCTTTTTGTTGACATTTAATTGAAGGAAACTAGAAATCAGCAGGATTTGATATCTTAGCAGGTGATCGGTCGGATAACAACAGTCCTGGATTTGAGGATGGAAGCAGATATAGAGTTTGGTGTCATCCTCATACATGTGCAATATGTAACACTAATAATACTAACCATTCTATACTTATTTGTAATTCTGCACTGATATTTGAGGTGGAAGTATGTGCTTGCAGCAACAAGATTTGTTTCTCAGCATTTTAAAACCCTGAATAATGTCCCCCTCCCCAATCTTTGACCAAAAATCAGGGTATTATAATGTTAAGGATAGTAAACCAGTATTCAAAATTCAGTGTCCAGCTGCAGTACGACATGGTATGAATATGGTATTCATTTACAGACTGCAAACCTGAAAAATATGCTGTTTGATTAAGTTAAAATATGTTCACTTATTTTCAGTATCGAAGACCAACCTCTCTGTCCATGAAGATAAAAACAGAGTTCCTTATGTGAAGGTGAGTGAAGAGTGTAGCCTTTGGTATGGTACTAGAGTGCAGCAATGTTGAAAAGCCCTGTTTGGGATCGATAAAATACCAACTTGGGTTTACAGGGAGGAAGGAGTTTATAGCAGAATTGACTGTGCATGTGCGCAACTGGCCAATGAGTAAGGAGTGCAGTGGTTGGATCCCGTGCTAAAAGAAAAAATATGGCTGACTTCAAGTTTATTATGTGATTGCAATATTGCTTCCTATTTTCTGCGCGTGCATAGAATATACAAAGTAATGTCGGTGGTGACCTAATGACCCGGAAGCTGGACTTCTGTTTAACGCGAAACCTTAAAAAAAAACAGGATCCGCAATGCACCTTTAATTCAGAAAGTGAAGGCGGTTCTAGTAAGGCTGAACTTTCTAGTATAATTAGCATTTTGGATGCAGAACTAACTCCACTTTTTCTTCTGCAGGGATGTACTGAACGTTTTGTTTGCAGTCCCGATGAGGTTATGGATACAATTGATGAAGGAAAATCCAACAGACATGTTGCTGTTACAAGTAAGCTGTGTCTTTTTTAAAAAAAAGTGTTTAATGTATTATAAAACCACAGAAATTCACAGCATAGAAGGCCATGAAACTTAATGTGTGTGCCGTCTGTAAAAGAGCAGTCCTTCCAGTTCCATTTACCTGCCTTTTCCCCGTACCCCTGTAGTTTACACCTCTTTATTATATATCTGTCTAGTTGCCTTTTGAATTCTTCCGCAACCGCTGCTCCTGGCAAGTCATTCCGAATCCCTATAACTCTGCGTGAGACTTCTGAGAAGCCCAAGTGCAAGGCCAAGATCTAGTGAGCAAAATAACATCAATGGATGGAAAGAGAATGAAATGAAATGAGTGCACTAGAACCTGTTATAATGCTGCATGATTAAGATATAGACCCTGGTATTTGCTTAACAAAAAAGCAAAGGGTACAAAAAGCTGGGTCAAATCATATTGTTATGGTTCAGAATGAGTTGTTGTATGATGACTTGTTTTGAAATAAAATGTACACCGATGGAGCTGGCTGTTTATCTACAGGGATGTGCAGTTACATAATCCATCTTATGATCAGTGACATCAAGATGTAGAAGCGGTGACTGGCGGTCATGGCCTGTTATAAGATAGACTGAAATATTAGACCCTAATTACATTCTGATATCAGGGTTCTACAATTATGACAAAATAGCATAAAGCTTAGACAATAATGCGTTAGGATATTGTGATATATTCAGATCTAGTGAATAATATCAATGGAGTTAGTTTGTTTCCATTTATTAATTTTCATGTTAGATTATACTACAGTAATATAGCTGTTGCAGTATCAGTTTGCTCCATTTCATAGAAGTCCAACTAATATATGGTGGAGATTTATAATAAGAAAAGCTGGCAGATCAGTATGAAATCTTGAGCGGAAAAACATCTTGAAGACTTCTATCACACGTAATGTTACCATTGCCTTTCAGAATTTTAGTAATTTTAAGGGGTAGTGTGATAGCAAGACAGACTGGTTAAAAGGCAGAAGAATGACGATGTGGACCAGTAATTAACCAGTAAGCTATTATGAAAAGATTTTGCATTTGTGACTTTCAGCATTCAGAATAAGACTTCAGTTCTGACTTCTTGTGGGTGATGATGACAGACATTTATTCTGACAAAAAGCTAAATTCAGCTTTCTGAGCACCGTTAAGTGCATCTGTTTTAATCGTCTTTGTATAATAGCCTGTCATAAAATAATAATAATAATCCTTGCATTTGATATAGCGCCTTATTACGTCTTTGAGACATCTCAAAGCGTTTCACAGAATATACTGTAAAGTGAATTGACTGTATTTTTTGGACGAAATGCAAGAATTGCAAGTCTTGCATTTTCTCTATACCTAAAGTGTCTCTGTCTTTATTTTGTCTTTTGAATGGCATTTTTCTCCTAATCAAAATGGCAGAAAGGACATCTGCCAACCAATCCTGTTATCTAATTGCTCAATGAAGAATTGGTTTGGGACTTTGTTCTGAAGGTCAAATCAGTGTTAGTAGTCACTATGTGGACATATGTGTGAACTGAACAAACCCATGATGTTTCAGAAAGAACCAAATTGAAATTTGTGTCTTGAAAGAAATAACTTGGATTTGTATAGCATCTAACATTGCAATGCTTCAAAGACTTCATAATAATTGTGTAGTGACTGTCTTTTATAGGCATATGTAGCAGCCATTTTGTACCAAGTTCCATAGATAGCAATTAGATGAATGGTCAATTTTTTGGGCTAGACACTGGGCGAAACTTAATAATATTATTTCCAGATTGAAACAGCATTGCCAGATGTGCAAAATGCAATAGGGCTGCCTTCTTAAGCTTAATAGCTCTTTTATTGCCGCTTTATTATCCAACGTATAGGTCATTCAGAACTCTGCAGCTCATGTACTGTCCCACACCAAGCTTCGCGACCACATCACTCCCACCCTCGCTCGCTTCCACTGGCTTCCCATCCCCCAGAAGATTGAAGTCAAGATCCTCATCCTCACCTACAAGGCCATTCACGGCCTTGCTCCCTCCTACCTCTCCGACCTACTATCCCCCTACTTACCTGCCCGTACCCTCTGTTCCTCTGGCTCCGGTCTGCTCCACATCCCCCGCCCCAACTGCCCTACCATTGGTGGCCGGGCCTTCAGCCCCTAGGCTCTGGAACTCTATCCCCCAGTGCCTTCGCCGCTTCCTCCCTTTCCTCCTTCAAACCCGGTCTCAAGACCTTTCTCTTTGACCGTGCCTTCAGCTCCCTTCTCGACACTCTACCCCCTCCTCGCTCCCTCCCTTCCCTCCCCTCACCCTGACCCCGGCTCGGGTCCTGATCCAACTGTCCAGCACCTTGGGACGTCCTCCCGACGTGAAAGGCGCTCTATAAATGAAATCTTGTTGTTGTTGTATATCCAGTAAAGGTCATTTGCTGTTTTCAGTTCAAATAAGTACAACAGATATTCTGAATACTTCACAGGGAGGGAGCAAGATTGATTGCTGTGGAAATCATTTTGTAGTTGCACTTTCACACAGATTTTTATGATCCGTAATCATGTGGTGTACTTTGTGTACCCATGTGAGCGGTCGTGTGCTGCTTGATCTGAGGCACTTAATACAGGTGTGCTCTTAACACAGATGTGACCTATACACCAGTTCTATGGTTGACTAAACTACTTTGTTTAATTCACATTAATTTTGAATGTTTAGAGATTCTCTATGTAATGTCATTTTTAGACCTTTGCTTAAATTCCATTGAAATTCTTCCCATTTCAGTGATGGGAAAGTGAGAATTTTTGCCTTATTATTCTAAATTTTTCTCCCACTAATTTTCTCTGCTGTTATCCTGATGACAGAAAAGGCAGTTGTGGTTCATCTAAACTACTCTATCTCTTAAAACCAACAATTGAATTTGTCACCGAATACCTGTCTTAATAATTCTTGCATTTGATAGAATGATTGTAACATCAAAACATTTCAAAGTGATTCACAGAAATCGTCTGAAGTGTGATGACTATTTGTAGATGAAAGTGGCAGCCAAATTGTCTACAACAGTGTCCTACAAATGGTCATGAAGTGAATGATAAATCTTGTGTGAATTGTCTGGTCCAATTGGCAGGCCGTATCCTTTTCATCTGGCTCAAGGCCATCTCCAACTTTGGGTACCTGCTCCCTCCCTCCCCAGCGAACAATCCTCTTGTCGCAGCAGCAGGAGCCAGCGGTTGAGAGGACGCAGGGCGGGAAGTGGAATTAAAGCCGGCTGTTGCTGCATTCTGTCAGAAAACCCCTCCCGAACTGGAAGGCATGCGGGTTTCCCAACCTACCGTGTCCTCCCAACCGCCGCTCCTGCCTAGACTATGAAGTTCCTACAACCTGCTGCCTCAGACAAATGTACTACCAATGAGTACTCTTAACTTCTTTGTTCCCTATTTGTTGATTCAATCTGCCTCCATTGCTATTCTGGATAATCTATTCCACAATTTGCCATTCATTTTGTAAAATAATTAAATTTATTTTGTTTGCCTTCCCTCTTCTGAATTTGACTGTGTCCACTTGTCTACTAAATCTACCAAGAATTCACTGACCAGTAACCTCTTCTTTCTAGATATGAACGAACACAGCTCACGTAGCCACAGTATCTTTCTTATTAATGTCAAACAAGAAAACACTGCAACTGAACAGAAACTAAGTGGCAAGCTTTATCTGGTTGACTTGGCAGGGAGTGAGAAGGTATTGTTCAGAATGTTTTTCACTGTGCTTTACTTGACATGTAGGTCATTTTATGTGGAGAACCGATTTAATTTCAATACATTACACATACAAAATTACAAGCTCATCTTTTCATTGGTTAATATCTCCAAGGCGAAATGAATAGTCGAGAATACAATGGCCATTCAAATGTTTTGTAATTCACAACAGCATTGGGCAAAGTTTTTAACTTTTTCTGCATACAGAATTGAGTTTTTCAGCCTTCATTTTGAGTACTTAGGGTTCATATTTTAGGAGCATATTTGGTGCCAAACCATATGTGGAATGTGGCATGTTGCTCTGAAGAAAGTAATAATGTGATGAGGACTATACACTTCATCTTAAAACTATGATTGCATTATTGGCCAAGTTTCCATTTTAAGGGGCCTAAATTTTGAAGGAATGCAGATACAGTGGGATACTGCAGCAGGTTACCTAATATACCATTCGTGGACATAGGAGTGGATGTAAAGAAGTGTGGATCAACAATTTTAACTTATATTGTGTACATTTTCACCTTTCATAAAATGCAGTGGGACATTCTCCCAAAGGCTGAGCTGGAGCCCCAACTGGGGGGGAGCTTGGATGGTGAAGGGTGAATAGGATGGTTGTGTGGTGGGGAGTGTTGGGAGAGAAGTGGCAGGGCCAAAAGTACAGTCAGAGGTAGTGGGATTTAAAAGCAGAGATGGTAGGAAGAGGTTACTTCTGGTGTACTTTTTCCTGAAACTGTTACCATGTTCCTATACTCTGTTACCATACTATTATAAGAGTTTATTAGGGTTTTTGTCTAAGTGTGCCGAGAACATACATCAATTCAGTTGCAAATGGCTTGATCGACTTGCTGAAAGTTTAATTAAAATGGCTCCAGCTGTACCAGCATTTAAGTGCAGGGCTGCTTTTCATATCAACTCATTTGTTGGAGGGGAGAGGGTTATGAACGGTCTTTTGTCTAGTTTACTTCAATAGCATTGTTTGTCTGCTTATCACCACATTGATTGTCAGTTTGTGACCTTGACTTTCTTGGTGGTAATGCTTTTTTGACTGGAAGTTTTATCATAATGTGTTTTATTTTCGAATTTAGGTCAGTAAAACTGGAGCAGAAGGGTCTGTGCTAGATGAAGCAAAGAATATCAACAAGTCGTTGTCAGCACTGGGAAATGTTATTTCTTCACTAGCAGAATCGAGTGTGAGTATTGGAACTTGTTCATTTCTTGATAGTCTGTTAAATACTTATCAAGAGTTCACTGATCAAAGTTTGAGCGTTGCTTCCAACCTTAATGGAACTGCAGTTAAGATCGAGTTGTCTTGAATATTTATTTTTAAAAATTGTTGTAAAGTTTAACTATTTTTGTGCATAATTAACACAATCAAATTCATGTGCTGTGCATACAGCTTTTCACCATAGTTACAAATTTATGGAACACTGTAGCAAAGGGCAAAAGTCCAAAGAGCAAATTAAATATGCAAATTATCTAATGAGGTTACTTTGAAGTCTTTTGGTAAGTTATTTTTTTTAGTAAATTATCTAAAATGTTACTTCAGCAAAAATGTCAGAAATAATCCCACTGTGATTTAAGAAACCCTTGATCTTCAATGTGTCAGCCTGGCTCAGTGGTTCATCTCTGAGTCAGAAGTTTCTCCCAGTGTCGTGGGCAACAAACCCCCCTCCAAATATATTAGTGACTCACTCCATGACTGTTTGTGGGATTTTGTTGTGTGCAAACTGGTTGCTGCGTTCACCCACAAAATATTCAAATCTACTTCACAGTATATCCTGTGAAGTGCTTTGAGACATATTGACAATGTGATTAGGTGCCATATCCAATCCAAGGATTATTATTAACTCAGTAATACAATATTGTTTTTTTTCACTCCAATTTTTCATCGTCTTTGAGTTTTGCATTAGAATACATTAGAATATACAGCACAGAAACAGGCCATTTGGCCCAACTGGTCTATACCGGTGTTTATGCTCCACATGAGCCTCCTCCTGCGCTTCCTCAACTAAGGCTTCAAGCATAACCTTCTAACAAAAATAGTTTTGACTAGGTCTTAATGCTGCTTTTCAGCTGACCTAAACTACATTTGCTGTGGTATTGAAGGAAACTTCTTTAAGTTCCAGATATGCTGTGTGTCATGATCCTGGTCCTCACCTTCAAATACCTCCACGCCTTCCCCCCCTACCTCCGAGACCTTCTAACCCCCTACCAACCTGCCTACTCACTCCGCTCAGCAGGCTCGGCCTGCTTTACGTCTCCTGCCTCACCCACTCCACCATTGGCGGGAGGTTTTTCTGCCACCTTGGCATCTTTTTGACCCTCAACTATCCATGCCACATCCGTGCCATGTCCCGCTCTGCCTTCCGCTACCTCCACAATATTACCCGGCTTCGCCACTGTCTCAAATCGCCGAGACCCTCATACATGCGTTCATAACATCCAGGCTCGACTACGCAAACTCCCTGCTTGTCGGCCTCCCCAACTTCTCCCTCCATAAGCTGCAGATCATCCAGAACTCTGCAGCCCATGTCCTCTCCTGCATCAGGTTCCGCAACCCTATCATCCCCATCCTCGCCCAACTCCACTGGCTTCCCAACACAAAGAGGATACAGTTCAAGATCCTGGTCCTCACCTTCAAAGCCTCACCAAGCTTCACCTTGCTCACTCTACCTCAGCGACCTCTTAACCCACCACCATCCTGCCCGCTCCTTCTGCTCAGTGGGCTCCGGCCTGCTTCACGTCTCCCGCCTCGCTCGCCCCATCAATTGATGTGCGAGCCTTCTGCCACTCTGCCCCCAACCTCTGGAACTCCATCCTGCAGTTCCTCCCTTCATGATTCCTGTAACTGGTCCTAATCCCTAAACTGATGGGATGCTCTTCATCTGAGTGCTGAAACCTGCATGACCATTATATTTCATGGCCATGGGGTTGATATAAAGCAGACAAACTGATTTATAGTGTCATTTTTTTTAAAAAAAAAATGGTGTTCCTTTCAGAACTACGTACCATACCGTGACAGTAAAATGACACGAATTCTACAGGATTCTCTGGGTGGTAACTGTCGAACTACCATAGTTATCTGCTGCTCTCCTTCATCCTACAATGAGTCAGAGTCTAAAAGTACATTGATGTTTGGTCAGAGGTAAGCAGTATTGTAAAATGTTTACTTTGGTGTGTGGATGTGGAAACTTTGCCAGGAGAGGTTGTTACACATGCGTACACACCTGAGACGTGTGAAACATTGAAAAAATATTTTATTCTTCTGCAAACCATGAAATTATCCCAACAAACCATGAAATTATCCCAACATATAGAGTACCTTTGTAGGCAATATTTTAAGATATTCTTTGGTTTGTTGCATATACTAAGAAAATGTGGAGTCTGGTCAAGTGCTATTTGTAGTGTTGGATACAGTACTTTGTACCTGATGGGATAGATTAACTGTCTGGGAGACAGGAGCATTACAAACTAATTAGCTGCTTAACTCAGATACAACACTGGGAGTTTGGATCTTCAAAGAAACTTGACCCTACTTGGCTACCTAGTGAATGAATGCGAGAAATCTCTCCTGATCTTGGCCTAGATAAAATCTAAAGTGATGCATATTTTGTGTCAGAGTCAGCTCCTCTCCACATCAGAAACACAGTTGGACTGTCAGACATCATAAGAAATGATGCAAACGTTGCTAACGCTTGAGCCAGATTGCTATTTGTGAAGAACACAAATGTTTGAAGTTGTGATTCAGTGTTCCGTATGAGTTCAGAGTCCACTTAGAATATTAGCTGCACATATTGTAGCGTTGTAAACAGTGACAGCTGTTAAGTGTGCATGCAATAACGGGTCAAGTCTACGTTTCCCGTGATTCAGTGCATCTTGACCCTTGCCACATGCGCACTTATTGGCAAACATTAGAATCGCATTGACTCGCGGGAAATTAAATTCTTCAGTGCATGGGCTGACAGATCAAGACGATGGCCCCACATTGCAATGCAGCTTGCCCGGTAAGTGCGCATACGTCGATGGGTCAGGACGTCATTTTCCACAATTCAGTGCAGCCGGTAAGTGCGGGAGTAATGGAGGAAAGTGGACCTGCGTTACGAGTTAAGAGATGATTTGCTAATAAAACACTACCAGTGCAAAGATCTAAATGGTTTTGATAGGAATTTGAATGGGACTTTGGTGCGTGTGCGACTTAGGCAATTATGCAATTAATAAAAATAAGACTTCCGTGAGTTTTACTGTATGAGTATTCATGGAGTTCAAAATGTTTTAAAATTGGTGACTATTAATGCTGTGATTTAATTTTATTTAAAAAATACAATGTATACATACGTATGCCTTTCACACAGGAAAAAGTGTCAAAGCTTTTCAAGGAGACGGAATACAGTGGTGCGGGTGGTTAGCAGTAGGGATGTGGTTGAAGTCGGGCAAAGAGGGTATTTTGGATGGATTTTGAAAGCGAAGAAAGGATAAGAGATGGAGAAATTTAGGGAGAATATTCTGGAGAGTAAGGGCAAAATGGCTGAAAGCTCAACCTCCGTTGAGGGAGTTGGGGATATGAAGCAGACTTCTGTTGCAGATGGAGGAGAAGAACCTTATAAGATCAGAGATGGGCAGGGAAAAGGCATGGAGGTTTTTGAAGATTAGAACGGGAATTATCTTCTGGGTGTGGAGTCATTGAGCCTGACAGGCATTAGGTTGACGAGTCTGTAAAGTGTGACACGAATATGTGATTTTCGTAGTCTTAATTTGCGTTTGTTTTTTTCTATGAACAGAGCCAAGACAATTAAGAACACAGTAACGGTTAATGTTGAGTTAACAGCAGAACAATGGAAGAAAAAATATGAACGAGAAAAGGACAAGAACAAGACCTTACGGAATACGATTCAGTGGCTTGAAAATGAACTTAATAGATGGCGCAAAGGTATCATTTGTTTCAAAACTTTCCACAAACTTTAAAATTCCACATTTTACATTTTACAAAATTATTTTAACCTATGTACAGCATCCGTGTAAAGGATTTCCATCTGAAACTTTTGTTTGTGGCTAATCCTATAACTGCTAACACAGGCCTGCTGTGCATCCCAAATCCCCTGTCCCACAATCAGTGGCCATGTCTGCTCTATCTTTAAATCCATTTGAAAATCTGCCTCTTCGACCCAGCCTGTGGTCACCTCCTCCTCCCTCTTCTTCCTTGCTCAGCATCCAACCCTGCTATTATATAGCGTTCAGAAATATTATCCTTTGAAGAACGCTATATAAATGCAAGTTGTTAGAAATATCTTTTGTACGCTGCCTGATGGCTTCACGTTGGTCATATCCCATTATATTATTGAACCATACAGATGGATAAAATGCTCATTGCTGAATTGGCTGATCTTTGTTGTGGTAATTAGTACTATTATTGGTATCAGTAACTCCAAGGAAGTGGGGCGGAGAGGAAAAGCAAGTCCTGGATTATCCATAGATCCAAGGGTTAATTTATGCAATGGAGATGTAGCTTCTGTATGTTACACTGGGTTCTTTTGAGTCTTGTTATGAGTTAAGTTATATTGGTTAGAAAACATTTCAAGTTGTTTACATTTGTATATTTGTTTTGGGATGATTTTAAATTGGTAGAAATTTTGAATAAATGAAAAGAAAATTTGAAAACTTCATGTAATTTATAACAGCAAAGGACTTTTTTAAATATTTTTTTAGATGTGACATTCTGAAAGGGTTATTTGCTTTCTACCATAAATAAATGAATTATTTCTTCAAGGTGAGTCGGTACCTGTAGATGAACAGTACGACAAAGAGAAAAACAAGGAAGCATTGGAAATTGTTCTCGCCAATGACAAAGTGGAACAAACGCCAGCCGTCAAGCTCACTGATGCTGAGAAACTAAAACTGGATGGAGAGATCTCCAAACTATATAAACAGCTCGATGACAAGGTAGGAAGTGTGGTATCTTTTTCTTTTCACTCCTTTCTCCCCTCCCCCAATTATGTTTGGGTTTACTATAAAATGGACCTTGATATATTTTAAATATAGCAATTAGTGTTCCACGTTTAGATGTTCTAATACAATGTTTTTTGGTGTTTCAGTGTCTTAATAATCAGTTGAATTCTATTATAAACATACTTAATTATAACTTAGGTTTGTTTGTTGCATGATTGGGCTCCATTGGTGCATGCCACGCTTCAAATTGCAGTGTCAGTGTACAATGACCTATTTTGAAGCTTGCCATCACAAGAGACGTGATGGCAGTTTGAAACGTATACTATTTGAAGGGTTGTTGCATTGCATAGATGATAATCCTATGAATAGAACTGAAACCCCAGAAATTTGATCTATATTGTATATTTTGTAATTTAGTATTTTCCATGTTGATTGCAGCTGACAAGTTTTCTGTGCACTTATGCTGACATCACTAGTTGACGTGTGGAAGAGCTGACCAGCCCCATAAGGCTGGCTGGAACTATATGGCTTTAGCAGGCTTCTATAGTCTTGTGCTACTTTTAACATAGTACTTTTACCAAATTACATCTGCTTACATCTGCTTATTTGCTGAATCGGAGAATTTTTGATCACAGTATTGCTACATAAAAGTCACAAATATGCTTGAATAGTAATCACTTTGAAAAGTACTAATTAGTTTTGACTCCAATTTCTTTACCTAAACCTTACCTTTTTTTTCTTTTGCTTTTTTCCATCCCTCTTTTGACTGATTGCAGTTGAAAATGATCTCTATTTATAATTTAATTAAGATTAACGCAAACATTAATAATGTTGAATTGCATCTGGTCTGTGATATTTTTGTTTTCAGAGTATGCAGATTACGCTTTTGAAAATAATTGTCACAATTAAAAGTTTGAAAGGCACTGATACATTGAATGCAAGCTGCTTTACTTAAGTTGATCATAATACTGAATATAAATTCAAATAAACTAGTTTCCATCAAGATTGGAGGAGAAGCATCCTCACAAATTAGGTGTGGGATCAACTCACATCATTGCTGGTTTGTTTGCTACATATTTCATGTGAAAAAAGTATTGAACAAATGAGTTTACAAAATATATAAGAATAGATACAGATTAAATCTCTGTGGCTCCAATTCTATTCATAGGATTATTGTCTGTGTCCTGCAAAAACTGGTAGACCAATATTTATTGGCAATTTTTTTAAAGTTGCTATTGTGGCTGGGAAGAAATACCACATTTCTCTTGGAAAATGTCAGCTGTGATTATTTCCTCAGAATATTAAATTGGGAAAGTCTACAGCATTATAAATTGCACTGTTAACTTAAAAAATTGGATTTGATCCACTGAATAACTGTTGACTGTTTGGAGCTTTCATATTTTCCCTGAATCTTAATTTAGGGTCCATTTTCCATTCCAAAGATATAAATGATCTAAGCACATGAATATTTTTGCTGCCAGAATGGTAATCTAATGCTCATAAGTTTAGAGTGAGCCTGTATAGCCTTGCTTAAAAGTTTGTTCTGTCATTGTACAATTTTAATATCTGAGTTGGTAGCTGAGGAATGTTTGTTCTAATTATGATTTCAGGATGAGGAGATCAATCAGCAGAGCCAGCTGGTGGAAAAGCTAAAACAGCAGATGTTGGATCAGGAAGAAGTGAGTCTGTCCATATGTTTTGTTTGTCTGGTTCCATGCAGAATTTTATTTTCATTCCTCGAGCTGCTTGGCTCTGAGATGAGGTTCCACAAGTACTGGCAACCATTCTTCCAAGTGACTGTTCTTCAAAGTCTGGGCTGTCTGTCAGCCAACAGACTTTGTCCTTGGATAGCATCACAGATAAAGCCAGTTCTGCCCTACCCAAAGCCCACAAACATGCACTCCAGGAGGGGCCACTGCTAAGTGACTTGCCGATTTGGCTGATTTTTTCCCATTCCTTCTCTTCATTTTCGCTTACACAATAGTCACTACAGTAAAATCCTGAGAAGTGCTTTGAGACGTCTTTCCAACGTGAAAGGTACTCTACCATATGCAAGGATTATGTATTATTGCTATTCTTGAAATATTGGAGTCCTGTAGCTCAGTGGTTGAGCACTCGCTTTGCAAGCGAGAGACCTGAGTTCAATTCCAGGCAGGGGGCGAAACCTTGGGCAAGTTTCCTTACTCCACACAGAGCCTAATAATAATCCCTCCAAAACCAAAAACAATAATAAATTGGTCATTTTCAATCCACGACTGTTTGTGGGACATTGCTGTGCGCAATTGGCTGCCGCGTTCGCCCACAAATATACAGTCAATTCACTTTACAGTGTGTTCTGTGAAGCGCTTTGGGACGTCCTCCCGACGTGAAAAGCGCTATATCAAATGCAAGGATTATTATTATTATTATTGAAATCTGAAAACTCAGAATTTACCGTAGACCAGGGGTTGAACCTGGACACTTCCTCGTCTCAATGACTCCATACTGGTCTTTACCAAGGAGCGTACCAATGTGTTTGCTTGCTGTGCTAGATTGCTTTCCTGAGAAATAGAATAAAGACCACCATCTTTTTATTATTTCTGAAGAGAATAAAATGACTGAAGTGGGCTTGGTTGCAATTTATTCATTTTTCATATTTTGCTTATGATAAAAAATACTCTTGGTGTTTCTTAGCTTGATTTAATAGAAATTGATCTAAATGAACAAAATACAACACAAATTTACACTTATGTAGTGTCCTTCATGTCAGAAGGACATCCCAAGGCGCTTAGTAAATCATTGCTTTCCTCTCCTGGCACTCCCTCTATAAACCCCTTCCAATCTGGCTTCGATGCTGCCCACAACACAGAGTCAGCTCTGGTCAAAGTTACAGGTGACCAAGGCTCTGTCTGTCTTGTCCTTCTCAGTTTCTCTGCCTTAGATACTGTCGACCATTCTATTCCCCATCACTTCTCCTCTCCATCTTCATGGTTTTGTTGTTACCTGGTTTCAGTCTGAGCTTTCCCATTGTCTGCACAAGGTATCCACCAATGGTTCTCGTGCCCTCGTAGTAATAGTAATAATAAAAATAATAATAGTAGCATTCTTTGTACAGCTTCTGGCATCCACCAGGCGAGACCAAGACAACACGCAATCCGAACTGAACCGCCTGCAGGCTGAAAATGACGCTTCCAAAGAGGAAGTGAAAGAAGTACTGCAGGCCTTGGAGGAACTTGCAGTCAACTATGACCAGAAATCACAAGAGGTGGAGGACAAGACGAGGGAATTTGAATTACTTAGTGATGAGCTGAGTCAGAAGTCGGTAAGATGAATTGCACTGCTATTCAAATTGTGTTCCCTGTCAACAATTGTCTCTAGTAATTTTTTTTAAAAAGTGTACATTTTATAAAGGTGCTCAATTATTCTAATAAGAACAAACTTGAAGACTAAATAATCAAGAATTCTTCAGTCAAACAAATTGATTTTTTTTCCCTCTGGGCCAGTATCCTACTTTTATTTTTAGCAGTTTGATCTCTGACTTCTGAATAATTTGCTGCTTAAGGTACCAGTTTACTCGGTTGTGGTCCAATTTTACTCCATCAATGAATTTATGTTCTCCCAGGCTACATTGAGTTCCATTGATGCAGAACTACAAAAACTTAAGGAAATGACCAATCATCAAAAGAAACGAGTGACTGAGATGATGACGTCATTGTTAAAGGACCTTGCAGAGATTGGAATTGCAGTTGGAAACAATGATGTCAAGGTGAGGACATGTTTTAACTATTTTTCCTTCAAATATAACTAGCTCCTCATAATACTACTGTACCTTGAGTCAAAAGCTTGTGGGTTCAAGCTCAACGTCAGAACTTTGAACTCCCAAGTCTAAGCTGGTACTCCATTGCAGTGTTGGATGTGCTGCATTGTTGGGAGGTGCTGTTCTTCGGATGAGCCATTAAACCAAGGTCCATCTGCCTGTTCAGATGGACGTTAAAGATCCCATGGCACTACTCAAAGAACAGAGGTGTCTTGGCCAACAATCTCCCAAATAAAATTGGTCATTCACTCCATGGCTGTTTGTGATGCATAGCTGTATGCAAACTGGCTGCCGGCCTCGCCTACAAAATACTACAAATTTAGTATTCACCTACAAATTTACAGGATATCCTGTGAAGTACTTTGAGACATCCTACCACTGTGAAAGCCATTATATCCCATGAAAGGATTATTACAATTTTTAACAACCAAACCTGCAAAACCAATTTGTTATGTCTTGTACAGATTGTGAAACTCCAGCTTTGTCGCGGGTGGTTGATATTTTGGACCCAGAATCAACTACTTTGTTGAGTTATACCTGTTGTAGCTTAAGCTTCCACTGAAGAATGTTAAGCTTGTTCAAACTCTACATTGACTGCCATCACAATAATTCTGTTTTCACCCTAAATATTTGCTCTGTACTCACTATTGTGTACAAATATAGTCACTCCACTTCAATTAAGATGTTTAAAATATATTATTAATAATAATAAAAAGGGTATGGATAAATACTCTAGAGGTAATGGTATTAAGGAGTATGGAGAAAAGGTGAGGAAATATAATTGAAAGATTTGCAATCTAATGAACTCACTGAACAAGCTCATGGGACTGTACGTTCTACTCCTATTCCTATGAAAACACCTTGGGAAGTAGATCAGTAATATTCATGAAGTGGCTTGGTGTAGTGAGAGAATTTTGTGCTGGCATTTTAACCAGTTATTTAATCTAAATTTCTTTCTCAGCAGCCTGAAGGAAGTGGTCTCATAGATGAGGAATTTACAGTAGCTAGACTGTATATCAGCAAGATGAAATCTGAAGTGAAGACAATGGTGAAACGCTGCAAACAGTTAGAGACCACACAGGGTGATAGCAATAAGAAAATGGAAGAGAATGAAAAGGAACTGGCAGCTTGTCAACTCCGTATCTCCCAGGTAATTGATGAAATATTTAAAGATATCGTATACTGAAAGGGATGTCGAGGAAAAGCATTCGTTGTCGCTGAGCCTCACTCCTGCAATGCTTATCCAACTAGAGCAATAATTAGAATAAAAGACCTTTGCATTGGATTACAATAGGGCTTAGAAATTAACTTTTCAAGTGACTCTCTTTTCACTCCTACACATCCCCAGCCTTCCTGCCAATCCTCCCCTTGTTCTTCAGACTCCACTGCTGCCTCTACCCTTCAGTCATCGCCTCCAAAACACTCTCTCGCCAACAAAACCCACACCGTCTGTGACCTCACTCTGGACTACAACATTGGAATCCTAGCTCTCACAGAAAACCTGCCTCACCTTGGTGACGCCTTCCCCACCTCATAGATTAAATGACTAGAGGGCATCAATTTAAGATATAGATATCCCAACTACAGGGATGCGGGAAAGGGGCAGGTAAATGGGACCAAGTGGATTTGCTGTTAAAAGAGCCAGCGTAGATACGGTGGACCTTTTCTGGTACTTTTTCTATGGTGCCATTTCCACACAGAAATTCACGTGTCTGGGAATGTGTGCTTTGCGTTACTTATTTTTCTTTTATTAATGATCCTAGCATGAGGCAAAGATCAAGTCTCTCACAGAATATCTGCAGAATGTGGAGCAGAAAAAGAGACATCTGGAGGAGAATGTCGATTCACTCAATGAAGAGTTAGTAAAACTTCAGGCACAAGGTATTGTGTGATTTGCCTTCTGTTAGTAAAGCAATGTGTAATATGTGCAGGATGCTGAATTCCTCCTGTATTTTCTCATGAAAACAAAATCCTGCAAGATAATTTTCGGATTGTCAATCAAAGCACAAATTATTTTTCTGCATAATTTTGCTTCCCAACTTTATTAGGTATAATACCACATGTTAAGAATTCCCTGATCATTCTTGTCAACGTAATCAGAATCTGGTACCCAAAATGAAGATATTAAGTTAAATGTGCAAATCTGTTGATTTCCATATGAATGTATATGAAATGTTTATCTCATCTTTAAATCCCTCCATAGTCTTGCCTCACATTACCTCTACAACCTCCTTAAACCCTACCCACCTAGCTGCATCCCTTCGGTCAGGGCACACCAGCATGCTTAAATAAAACTTGCGCTTGCATAGCGCCCTTCATACAGGGCAGCGTCTCAGAGCACTTCATGTCCCATGCCTCACCATCTGTCCACACTCTCAGAAACTCCAATGCCGAGTTCCTCCAACTCGCTCACTCCCTAACCTTGTTCAAGGTCTGTCTCGAGACCTAATTGACCATTTTCAGTCATCTTTCCCCCTGCCCACCCCCTCAACTCCTTGAGTGCTAAGTCATTTCCACTGGGAATGGGTCGGTAACCCGAGGACACCGACTTAAAATAGTTGTTAAAAGAAATAGAGGAGAGAGAATTTTTTTCACACAGTGAGTTGTTCGGAACTGGAATGCATTGCCTGAAAGGGTGGTGGAAACTGATTCGATAACAACTTTTAAGAGAGAAGTAGATAATTATTTGGGGAGGACAAGTTTGCAGGGCTTTGGGGAGAGAGCGGGGGAGTGGGATTGAATTGGATAGCTCTTTTCAAAGAGTTGGCACAGACATGATGGGCCGAATGGCCTCCTTCTGTTCTGTATAATTCTATGATTTATTATTGAGCATTTTGGGATATCCTTCCATATGAAATGCACGATATAGATGTAAATCTGTTTTGTATAAATAGATAACAAATTTCTTACGGATTTGCAGAGAAAGTACATGAAATGGAGAAGGAGCACTTGAACAAAGTAGAAAATGCAAACGAAGTGAAGGTATGTCATTTTTACTGCTGGAAATTTCTAGCTCACCAAATTCTTCTTGTGAAATCTTATTCTGATTTCGAAAAATGTCATTTGCTACACATCTGATTATGATGCAGTACTTTTCTGGCGAGATTATTCAAGACATTTTAACCAAGTTGGTGTGTAAATTTACTGCATGAAAGTATTTTATGCTGTTCATTGCTACCTGCAGCAAGCTGTGGAGCAGCAAATGCAGAGTCACCGTGAAGCCCACCAGAAACAGATCAGCAACCTGAGAGATGAAATTGAGAAGAAAGAAAAAGTCATTACAGATCTCCAAGAGTATGTGTTGTAGTGATTTTTAAGATCAGTATTAATAATCCTTGCATTTGACGTAGCGCCTTATGTCGTTGACATTTCAAAGTGCTTCACAGAATATACCGTAAAGTGAATTAACTGAATTTTGTGGGCGAAACAATTCCGCACAGCAGTGTCCCACATACCTAAGTTTGATGGATATTTTGAAGCTCCATTATAACAAATCCATTATAACAAAAGCACAAATTTGTTTAAAACACAGTTGGACTGAAGACCCCAGTGCACGTGTGTGCAGCCAGCCTACTTCTTTGCTGTTGGCTTTTTGCACTAAAATAATCAACTTCCAGTTCATTAGGTCAAACTCACTTTCCATTGTGTTGCACATGTACAGAGCAGAATATGCTGGTAACCTAATGACCAGAGGTTAGCCACTTTAGCTTCCTGTATTTGTTTTTAAAACATCCTTGCATTTGATATTGCCCTTTTCACGTAGTCAAGACTTCTCAAAACGCTTCACAGCATATACTGTAAAGTGGATTGACTGTATTTTGTGAGCGAAACATACAGTCTTGGTATGAGTGACCACTTTTATTTGGGGGATTGTTAGCCAGGACACCGAGAGAAACTCCCTTCTCTTTTCAAATAGTGTCATGGGATCTTTAACGTCCACCTGAACAGGCAGAAGGGACCTCGGTTTAATGTCTCACCCAAAGGACGGCATCTTCGACATAACTTCCAGGTCACTCGGTCACCAGCGACATCACCTCCAGCTTTGCTCATGTGCACAAAACTGGAAGTGAGGTTGAGGTGACCCATACGTTGGCCAGTTCCCATTTCTTTCAAAATGGTAACTAGCCAGCTAACTCCTTGCATGTAGACACTGAAGCTCATCAGCCCACCTGAGTGTAACATAGGTTAGGATTGCATGGATTCTAAACACTGCATTATAACAAAGCTGCTCTGGATTAATTCCCCCAATGTAGCGGTTACTACTTTGCTATGGCCAAAATATGCTGGTTATGGCTTCTAATAATTGGTACCCTATTGATCACTTTATTTTCATGTCTTGTAACAGCCAAAATCAAAAGATGATGTTGGAGCAGGAACGTCTCCATTTAGAGCATGAAAAACTCAAGTCTGTGGACCAGGAGAAAAGCCGCAAATTACATGAGCTTACGTAAGTAAAAGGCAACGCTGGGGCCATTTGATTTCTATTACAGCTAAACAATTGGTACTGCATTCAAGATTTAACACATTGGAAAAAAGCTTACCTTTTTCTAGGGTCAACTAAGTGTTTGATGTATGTGGAAACCCATCACCATGTTTAAGAGTAAAGCGAGTTCAAACCAAACCTGAGTTCCATGCATCCTACCTATGCATGGAATTACCTGAGATATTTATTGGAATGGATTGTGCCCTCTCTCCCTGGAGGGATACATCCTGCTTACCTAATCCCGAAGTGCATTAGGCACAGGTTGGTTCAGAGCAAAGGTTTAGGGACCTAAAGTATACATTGTGGTACTGCTGGAGTCTAACCAGCTAAAACTACATAGCTTGCTATTGTTATCACTGTCTGGCAAGCTTTTCTGCTGCTTGTTCAGCTAGGAACACCCTACCTGTTAGGACTTTGGCTTTCAGGGATAATAGGACCAAGTGAGAAAAATCCCAGTGACTGGTCTGCCCTTCCAAGTTTGCCAATGGCTGTCATCAGTCGTGCCCTAGAGTACTGTGGACCTGCCTGGTTCAGGACTTGGACCATCAAGACTGGCACAGAGGGCTGGCTCAATTCTGACATTCTTTTGCCAAATGTGTAACCTTGGAACTAGTTCAGCTCGTAGGAGACCCTACTCATCCCCCCCATCCCTGCCCCCAGGAGAGTTACCAGTTGATCATTTAACATCTATCAAGTGTGCGTTTGAGCCCTCAGTAGGTGGCAGGCAGATACCAGGAACTCCATACGAGCTCCCAGGTGGGCATCACAGCTCAGTATAAAATGCATGAGAGCATTGTCACCATGTTCCTGTCTGTAGCTCGGACACACAATTCCTTCCCATTGAGCGATGGTTCCACCGGGTGGAGCTGGAGCAGCAGCTGCTTACCTCTGAAGACTTATCAAGGAGGATTCCAGGCATTGTGTATACGAACATGCGTACACATACTCATACTCCAGGTAACACTTTCCAGCAGCTGTCAAGTTCTTGACAACTATCCGATAGGCATCTGCCTTCAGAGTGTTGGGAGGATCTTAATAGGATAGCTTGTGATGTGCAGGCCACCTTGAAAAGTTTTCCTTTCAATTGAAATACCACTAAATTCTATCTAATAATAGTGCCTGGGTTGCATTGATTATTCTCCCTGTACATCAAGCTCAGCAGATTTGATTTTTTTTAAAAAGGATGTTAAATTGAAACAGTTAAATGTGTTCCATTCCAGTGGCATTACCAATGGTACATTGCTTGTATAAATGTATTCTAAATAAACTTTTTTATTTATTTAGGATTATGCAGGATAGGCGAGAACAAGCTCGGCAGGATCTCAAAGGACTGGAAGAAACTGTGGTACGTTGCAGTTTTGAAGTTGAATTGATTCTACTTTAAAATTGCCACGTGAGATCTATACATTTCTGCAATGATTTATTGATGTGTTCTCGCTTGTTTTCACACTTTTAGGCAAAAGAACTGCAGACATTACATAACCTGCGGAAACTTTTTGTTCAAGACCTAGCAACCAGAGTTAAAAAGGTAAGCAAGAAATTGAACAGTGACCATGTCTTTTTCAGGATGATCATATTACATGTGCTGGTATTATCCATAAACATGATGAAGCACATTGATTCATAACACTTTTAATAAACTAAGACAACCTTAAAAATATGGATGGACCCCTTCAATGATCTGGTTCAGTGGTTGTCAGTCTTTTTGGTCGACCAACCAAATTTGTGGATGTTATACGATGCAGGATTGGAATTAGTTGTGAAAACTTAGAAAAGGTGCACACATGAATAATCGCCACTGAAACAAGGTATCTGAGGGCAAATGTTGCTTGTGGAAACCTATACAATATTATATAATTTACATTTGTATCGTGTCTTTTCCCCATGAAAAGAAAAAAAAATCAAAACTCCCTTTGGAGAGAGAGCAAAAAATTGGAGGAGAAGAAGTAAGGGTGGGATTGTTTTAAACTGGCATTTGTCTGCTCGACTAAGATCAGTAAATTTACTTAGAACCACTGACGAGAATGTTTGGTTTCAACCAGTAAAAACCTACTGACACATGCTTACTGCAACTAGCTTCTAGTTCATTACATGTACAAAATTCAAGCATCTGTGGTTTATGTAATCTGTTATGAATGTGAAGTCTGAACTAATGCTTGTGCATCCTGAAACACATTTTGAGCACTAAAGAGTACTTTAAACTCCATGAAAACAAACTGATTGCATTATGTTGTGCTAGGGATGGTGCAGGCCAAAGCACTGGACTCTTATTTAAAAAGCAGCATTATGCTGTTAGGGGTGTAGTTGGGTATTCTGGAAGGATGAGATCAGACTACATTATGCAGTCAGTTGCATTTATAATGCATTTTGTGTGTTTGGCACAATGCTGGATAAGTTGACGGCAACTGCACCAACCGAAGTGTCTAACGCTTTAAAAGTCCTTAATGACTGGGATTTCATTTCTCCATGGTTAGATTATGTCTAGTACCATTATTCCAGCTCATTTATTGTAACTAGATTTAAAGCATTTCCCAAATCTTTGTTCAGTTTCAAGGAAGCACGCAGTCTAAAGTTGAAGTCCTGTGTGGCTAAAACAGTGTTTTGGGACTTTTTAATTGTCTGTTTAGGAATTACTAAACTGAGTATTATGGTAGTAACTAATGTTATCTTGGAGACCTGTAGTTTAGTGGTTACAGCACTTGCCTTGCAAGCAAGAAGACCTGGGTTTGATTCCTGGCAGTGCAAAATTTAGGAATGTTTCCTTCACACACATCTGTTTACCCAGCAGTAACTAGGAACTCGGTTGTTAGTCGATTGGCACTTTTCCCAGGGTAATAATCCCTTTTTAAAAAAAATTGATCACTTAATCCACGACTGTTTGTGGGACACTGCTGTGAGCAATTGGCTGCTGCATTTCACCCACAAAACAGTTTATTCTGAAGCGCTTTGAGACGTCTAGAAGACGTGATATCAAATGTAAGTATTATTACTTTTGCTACCTTGCTCAAAGCAAAGAATCAGAAAACTGCCAAGTTCCTTATTTATTTGTACACTTGCTGCTGTATGCCACTATGGATTCTCTCTGAGCTGTGCTAACTGGGTCACTGGAAAGCAATTATGACAGTCCAGTTGTGATTGTTCCTTGCAGCATAATTAAGACAAACACTACTATTTGTGAGTTACACAAATCCACTATTTTACAAAATAATCCTTACTGGTCTCCATCTGCATAATGCAGATTCCAGATCATGGGTCTAATCAACTTCAACCTCTTTCATATAAGGAGGTTTTTTCAGTATTTATCTTGTCTGGTAATGTTTGAGAAAATATTTCAGTGAAGGCAGAGTTTGTGGTGGAGTGGGTTGGCAGAACAGCTAATTTCTGTTGTTCTTAACTTCCCAATCTTGCCATTGCTGTTAGAATTTGCCTGTTTGGATGCATGAACTCTTGTGTATGCAAATGTTCTGTGTTTGCACTCACTGGCATTTATCTTTCACATATTTTGTATTTTTATAATGTTAAATTTCTTGAATCCCCTCAAACGCCCTCTTTGCCGGTCTCCCCAGCTCCATCATGCGTAGGATCCAGCTGATCAAAAACTCTGTCGCCCGTGTACTCACCCGTACTAAACTCCGTCCCCCCATCACACCAGTTCTAGTCAGGCTCCACCGGCTCCATATCGCCGAACGGATCGATTTCAAGATCCTCACACTCATTTTCAAATCCCTTCACCCCCTGGCATCTCCCTACCTCTCCTGCCTGCTCATCCCACAACCTGCTGCCTCCGCTCGACTAGCTCCGGCCTTCTCATGTCCCTTGTGTCCTCCGTTCCACCCTTGGTGGTGGCGGTTTCAGCCATTAGGGCCCGAAACTCTGGAATGTTCTTCCTCTATCCCTCTGCTTTGGCCCTTCCTTCCCCATCTTAAGGTCGAGCCTGAAGACCTTCCTATTCGACTGTCCCTAGTGTCACCTTCCGCTCCCCCGGCTCGGCATCGTACTCTGACACTATCAAGCGCTCTGGGACGCTACCCTGCATGAGGAGCGCTAGATAAATGACAGTTATTAAAAGTTACTAAATGTTTTATTGTCCCAAATTCTAATATCTGTATCGTAATAACCTTAAAAAATTAAAGTTTTTATTTGATAGACATAATCTGCACATTTTTCACACTTGATCAGCACATAATCACTGGCGGCTATTCTCATGATTCTCTTGTTGGTGATGGTTAAATTATGAAAATTACTTCATATTCATTGTGTAAATGTAATTCAACCCAATCTGCCTTGCAGCTTCAGTTACTAAGCTTGCAATACAGCAGTGGTTCTGCAGTACTAGGCTTCTATTAAAGGGCTAAGCAAGAAAGTTTTCTTCTGTTGGAACCTGAAGAACTACTTTCAGATGTCTCATTGAACAGCGTTGCTTCAACTACCTTTGGGTGAATAGCAAAACCGCTGATTCCAGGTGGTGGGGGGCATTCTCTTGACTCTTTTGCTCAGAAATTTATTGCTGAAACACTTAGTGGATGTGAATCGTTTTCTTCTTTCTTTTCCCTCTCCCTCCTAAATTAGAGTGCGGAAATGGACTCCGATGACACTGGTGGTAGTGCGGCACAGAAGCAGAAGATATCCTTTCTTGAGAACAACCTTGAGCAGCTCACAAAGGTTCATAAACAGGTAAGGCCACATGTAATTTCCTGATCTTATTAGTAACACTAGCTTTTTTGTGGGATGCATTTAATGTTTTTCCTGTTCAGTTGGGTGTTGAAGATCTTGTAGGATTTGTTGAAAAGTAGTGAATTTCTATAAAATGGGCATTCGCTTACTACACTTGTAGTAAGTCCTGCAATGCACTTTGAGACGTCCTCCCAACATAAAGGATGTGAGGATCAAATGTGAGGATTATTTTTGTTCCAATTAACTCTTAATGCTGTGACAATTATTCAAATCCAAACAGATTTGTTTGGATTTTACAAATCTATATGGTACAGTTGAACACATTATCCAGTCTGGACCCACAATTGTAACAGACTGTTTGCTGTACCAAATGTTTCAGATCAGCAATTATGTGAATCTTGCAGAAATGTAAGATTCATGTAAATGTAATCAAATTGATATTGTAATACTTTTATGTTTTCAATATTAGTAACTCAAATTGTACATAAATACTCGTTTCAGTAGTTTGAAAATAATTCACTTATTCTAATGGGCGATGCCATTCAAAAGTTAGGAAAGTTAGAATATAGAATAGAACTATCTTCCATTGATGTAATTGGCACCTCACAAAGGATTCACCAGGCATCCTAGTGTCTGGATTGTGTTTATTTATTCATTTGACCCAACAATAAAATTTCACATGGACCACAAAAACTCCTTAATTTGGCTTCTAGAACTACAAAAGAACCTTAGGCACATGCAACGATTTTTTAAAATCCCAACATTGCAGCCCACTTTACTTCAGTGTTAGTGCCCATTTGGAAATGCTGTTTTCCAATTATGAACTGATTTATAACTAATATACTTGATGTGTTGATAAAATTGATATGTGCAGGTTCTGTTTCTTATGATGATAATAATCCTTACATTTAGTGTAGCGCCTTTGATGTCAGAAGGACATCCCAAAGCACTTGACAGAATTTGCTGTAAAGTATAGTGACTTTGTTTTGTGGGCAACATCTTCATGAACAAATGCATTAAACAAACCATTTTTCTTCCATCATTGCCTCAAATAAAGCAATGTGGTTACTCAAACCATGACTGTTTGTGGGACACAGCTGTCGCGTTTCACCCACAAAATGTGCAGTCAATTCACTTTACAGTATATTCTGTGAAGCGCTTTCAGACATCTCAAAGATGTGCTAAGGTGCTATATCAAATGCAAGGATTATTATTATAAATTTGACAAGCTTTGCGACTAATCTTTATACTTCATTAATTGCATTTAGACCACAATTTCATCCTCTTGTTTTGTGATTCAGTATTACACTAATACAGTCTTGTGCCTCTGTTCTTGCCTACAGCTGGTACGTGATAATGCAGATCTTCGTTGTGAGCTTCCAAAATTGGAGAAACGACTTAGGGCTACAGCTGAGAGGGTTAAGGCTTTGGAATCTGCATTAAAAGAAGCCAAAGAGAATGCGTCCCGCGATCGCAAGCGTTACCAGCAGGAAGTAGATCGCATCAAGGAAGCTGTCCGAGCAAAGAACATGGCAAGGAGAGGGCATTCTGCACAGATTGGTAAGTTTTTCACAAAATAGCAGTAAAATGTTTATTCTCTACTTCAGCAGGTAATAGTTGTGAAATAATCATTTTATCAGCATTAGAAATTCTGTCCTGTACTTAATTCACGGTTAATTTTTAATTTCATAAATTAATTACTGAATATTATAATCAAACATGCTGTGCTGCTCTGCTGTAGTACAATTCGGCTTGTGAGGAGCAACTATATTTTACAATGAATGGTTTTGTTTCAGATGCAATATATCATGGTATATACTAACATGCAGTTTAAAGTAATTTGTGTAGATTTAGTAATCTATGAGGAGCAGTCAAAAGGGACCTTTTTGTTCATTGGATTAGTAACCAGTTTTAAAAACTGTTTTGGGCAACAAGTCCAATCTTTGTACAGTTGTGGAAAAATGAAATAATGGTCATCTTTAAAAGTGCAATTTAAATAAAATTAACATCTAAATTTAAATCTCATAGTTGTAGACCATCAGCATCTAGAAATGTTCAGTTACGAAACTCTGGTAGTTCAAAAATGAAATTACGTTGGGATTATTGGTTAACAGTATAAATTCTAGTTGGTTTTAGTATCTGTAGAATGTAGGGATTAAAGTAGTTCTCAAAGATGATGATTTACTCTGCCATCCATGGCATTTTTTTGTAATTTTATCATTTTAACGTATAGAAAACAACAACAAACATAACTGAACTACAACAAGTAAGCAAAATATTGGCCACAAACTATTAAGTAGCTTTGTTTAAATCTTGCTTTGATATTTATCACAAGTGGATTTTTTTTCCCTCTTCTAGCTAAGCCTGTACGTCCTGGCCAGCCTCCGATGGCTTCCCCAACTCACCCAAGTGCAATTCGTGGGGGAGGTGGATTTTTCCAGAACAGCCAGGCTGTTGCAGTACGTGGAGGTGGTGGTGGCAACACCAAATCGGATAAGTTGTAAGTATGATGGGACAGTTCAAAGAAACGTGTTTCTAAAACAGCCGAAATCAAGATATGTTGTGTGTATTTAAGGTTTGAAAATCACCTCATCTGTTTTTTCTGTTTTCATGGAGCGAGCCTCATTGCAAGCAAAGAACCTGTATATGTTGCTTTTATTACTTTCATGGATTTGTTGCATCAAGTTTTCCAAATATCTACAAAATGTTAATTCTCACCCTTTCTAAATTTTGCTAATCCTGTCTTCATTGGAGAAAATCTTAAGACAGTTTTACATATGCAATTCAATACTGGTCACCAATAATAGATGAATTATACTGAGATGTAGTTTCTGGACTGAGTGACTGACTCAGATGAGAACCATTGCTAAAATGTACATTTTTGTAAACCCATCAAATTTGATTGTCAAATAAATGGAGTGGATTTGTCTTGGTACCTATTATTCTGCTAGAAGCGAGAATTTCTTTCCACTTCCAATTGTTCTTGCAAAGAAAGGTTACAGCATCTTCATTCAGGTGTTTCGCAATCCTCTGACTCAGATGTTAGAGTGCTACCAGGTGAACCAAATGAAGGTGGCTCTGCCAAATACTATTTACTTTCTTAACTTTTTAAAGAGCTGATTATGCCACTGGCTCATTTAAAAATTAGTTCCTTCAAAGCTTGTAAAGTTTTGAGGGGACATCTGATCATTTTGGACTGCCTGCATTTCTGTTGCAGTGATTTTAATTGGATGTCTCAGTGAAAATGCCTACTATAGATAAACCCAAGGTTCCATTACTTATCACCATTCTACAAATGTGATGTTATACTGTTTTGCACTGAATTGGTGTGCAAAGTAGAGTATAAACTAGCATTATTTGAGAATGAGAAGAATTGTATTTATTGATTTGGTTGCATGCTTTATCAACCTGTTCTCATGATGAAAGTATGTGCCAAAATGATGTCTCAGTCCGGATGCATTTTTTCTGTCACTGGAAGAAAATACTGACATAAAATGTTCTGCTCTGGTCATGCTTTGTAGAGTATTTCCACTCACTGCTAAAATAAGTGTCAGTGAGCTTGATCGGGTTGCAAAGCCTTATTTATTACAGTAATGTATTTTCATATCCAGGAACTAAAATGTTTTGCTCTTAAGGAGATAAACATCAATGTTCCTGCTCTACATGCATCCTAACCATCTTTTCACAGTCATCTGTAGATTTCAGCAGGAATTAATCTGCCTATTTTTCTGCTTGCTCGAAATAAGCATAGAAAAGCTACAATGAGATAATCTTTTGGGTAGTTGACATATTAAAGGTTATGGCAAGGGGCAGGGGATTGGGATTAAAAGATCTGACAAGATCTAATGAACCATAAAACAAGCTCTGAGCTGAATGGTCTGTTTTCCTATCTTAATTCAGAACATTTTACATCTGTGTTGATGAGGATAACACATTTACAAAATTGAACTATGTGAGAAATTTAGTTTCCATTTAGCACTATAAGCAAGACCTTGATGGAGCAATGAAGCTACATCACTTTAAATGGCTGCAATTTTTTTTCAGATGAAAAGTGTATACAATCGATGTGTGCTTTTGTATCTGTCTTAAAAGAACTAAAATTAATATTGTATTGTATTGAACTCAAATAAACAATCCTATTCAATTGATCTTTGCTTCAAAATTACTTGTTGGGGGGAAAGTAATATAATACAGGTGATGGTTTCATGGGAGTACAGACTATTTTCCATCTAGTCAGCCCAGTTAATTTCCCAACAAAAACATCTTTAAAAAAACTCATCACCTAATTCTCATCAAATCCTCTTAATTTCCAGGAATTTATCTAGTTCCATTTTTGAAACTCCTTAGTCCCTATTCTAATACTATTTTGCTGTACGTGTTTGACCTTTTATTAAACTTGAGGGATGGGGAAATCTCCTGCAATTCCACGATGGCCTGAATAGTTCTATGCAGAAGATGTTTTCCTTTACGTGTTTGTTCTACTTTGAAGTTATGGCCAGAAATATAAACCAATATGTAGGTTATCCACCTTGGGGGGCCCGCTTGAAGCTGAGCTGGCTCCAAGGTAACACGCGATGTCAGAATTAAGTCAACCTTCTGTGGTCGTCTGGTAGTTCTGTTCTAGAGCCAGATTGGGCAATACTCCACAGCACTGTTGATGACAGCCCAGCCAGCCTTGCTCCTTGAGTGAAGTTCAGTGAGACTGGGGGTAGTGATTCTTCCCATTCAGCTCCCTTAACCCTGCCAGTCAATGCCTTTATGGATAGGGTAGTCCTACCCAACAGATAGTGGGAAGCTTGCTATACATTGCTCCTGATGGCAAGCTGTGTGGTTTAGCTGGTTAAACTCCAGCAGAACCCTACGCACACTCTTGGGTACCCCAAGTTTTGGCAGTTGACAACCTGCACCTAATACTCTCTAGAATATACTCTCTAGCTAAGCAGAGAAAGTGTGGGTTCCATTCCAGATGCATGGAATTTTTCACGTGTAAGTGGCATAGTTATATGAAACTCTGGTTTGGGTATTCTTAAGCATGGTGATGAGTTTTGGTGTCTCAGACACCTGGATTACCAAGCTGAAATGTAGGTCAACCATTGTAAATGGCAACAATAAATTACATTTGTATAGCGCCTTTCACATCAGGAAGATGTCCCAAGGCCCTTCCTGTATTATTGCAGGATTAATCCCAAATATTACAGGATTCAGAGGTCATTGAAAATTTGCACGAATTTAGGTGCCATATTTTGTTAGTTTTGGTCAAGATTACAAATTGCACCCATTTTAAGATGCACTGTAGTGCTTTACAATGAATATTTGAATGAACATTAATGTTTTGTACATGACATTGTTTCTGACAAGTCCAACTTTCATCTGAGACTAACTTATTAAGCCATTATCACAGTTTCCCAGTCACTGAACAACCCAATAATCTATTGCCATTGATGCTCTTGGTTGTCAAAAAAAAGTTTTTTCAGCCTTCTCTACAGTAAAAACCTCCATCTAGTGGTTTTGCTGAGAACTATTGAAAGCTCGATAAACACTGCGCGAGTGTCAGTCAATAAAATTGAGATTCAGATTCAGACATCTGCTGAAGTGAACAATCTACAAGAAAACTGGCCAACAGCTGCCTATTGCAGCTAAATTATTTCCTGGAAATGTTCTTCAATGTCATTTTGTGAACTAACAAGAATAAGATTCTGTGTGCTAATCCAATGCTAACCACAAGTTTGAAAGTGCAATCTTGTTTTCTGATGTATATTACAGTATATGATACAAAAGAAGAATGTTAAGAATTCTGGTTCTGAATATCATTGGTGTCGAATTTAGACAAAATTACAATAGTAACATTTCTGAAATATTTGCAGTTTTTTTTAAACACAAAAGATAACCTCAGAAAATGCATCACTGGTCACCTGAAAGAAAATGGTCATCTTTCTCAGGTAGTGCAAGCTAGGTCTGGGTTATGAGGGAATGCTTCAACATTCAATATACTATCGTCGTGTTTCAATTATAATATTCTTCTCATTGGAAACCTAGTGCTGGTTTTGTTTTCTTCCCAGACAATGTGCACTTTCTGTACAGGCCGAGTTTACAAACCAGTTAGGTCGAAGCCTGTTATAGGCATGTAGATTTAGGACTTTCACAATCCAATAAATTTCATAATTTCCATCTTAATATTGTTTAGAAATCTACAATTGTACTAAAAGGAACTTGAATTTTTTATAGTGTCAGTGGAGGGATGACTAATAATGCTGAAATTGGAGACATTGGCTTCATGCCTTCATCTGTTAAAGGTAGGTTATTGTCCAGATATAGTAGTGACTTTGGTAGAGAGACAATTATCAGCACTAATTGGGACTGGCCTCATTGTGGATAAGGGACCATTATGGATAACTGATCATTTCACTAAATATTAATTGGCTAAAATACTAACTTTTTTTCTATCAGGTGTCATAGTACCACACTCTGTCAACCTCTCTGACTCTTAACTTTTTCTTTCTCTCCCTTTCTGTCTCAGTCTCTATTTTTTCTCTGACTTAAAACTTAAGACAAAAATATAAGTGACGTTTTGTGTTACTGGCATCCCAAAAAATTTTTTGTTACTAGCATGTATGAAGTTGAGTGCTTGATTAAGATACCTTCAAGTTATTTGTGATACATGGCTGAATAGTGTCCTTAATAATCTTGCACACATTCATACAACTTCATACATGCAAGTAACTGGATTTTTTTTTAGCCAGTGACTTGCAACCCTGCATCCACTTCTGCACTGGAGCCGGATGCAGTTAGACTTGTGGATAATTGGCATTCTACTGATGTATGGTTTCAGTACATAATTTAGAAGTTAAGTTTTGTTCAGTAGCATGGTAGTTGTACAGAATGATGAATCAAATGTTTCATTTAATTCCTGAATTACACGTTGTCTCTATTTGTGTTATTGATGTACACAAAATCCTATAGCTCCTGTAATTTTCTCTGGTTTCTTTATCGTGCCTGTTTTTTTTCCTCCACCTACATTTAATAAAAGCACACCACGCAGGGTTTGCTGGCTGTGTGCGCATGTTGAAACCAGCTACTGCAACCTTGTAGGATTTTAAGGATCCAACCACTGTGTTGTAATGAGGCTCTGCTGATTTTCTTATTTGGTGCCTATTGCAACAAAACAGCAATTTGCTTCATATAAATCTACAAGTTAGGAGTATTAAGTGGAGAAATGCAGCAGCATCCCACACTTAATTTGATTGATTAAAAATAACTTTTTGGAGACTTTGGGTGAGATGAATATTGGTTAGAATTCCCTGCTTCTCTTCAACACAATGCTATGGATCTCCACCTCAAGAACAAGCAGTTAAACGTGAGGGACAGGAGATTAAGAGGAGTGGAGGCTTACGTGGAGCTAAACACGCCACAGACTAATGATGAAATGGCCTGTTTCCATGTTGTAATTTTCTATGTAAAAAGCAGTGATTCAGAACTGAATTAAGTAATAGGAACTCAGAGTCAGTCTCTGGGAATTCTGCTTGTAATCGGCAGAACGTCACTGCAGATCATTCACTTGGAAGTGTCGGAGGTAGAGTTCCTTCAAACCAGCCATGATGTACCGCTGGTTACTGGCAACATTCCCTGTTGCTCATGGGGAATCCTATAACAAGCTACCCGCTGAATCCTGCAACAAGATTAACATTGTAGATAACCTTTTAGATTCATAGTATTAAGTCAGTTTATTTAGTTCTGATTTTAGACTGATACGCCATTATACATTATTTTTCAAAAAATGGCAGGTTTTTACAAGAGTTTTTTGTATATATAGATGTGCTGACTTTCTATAATTTCATGAAACCTGGCTAAATTATAAATGTATTCCAGATAATGTTCTGCAGGAGTAACTGTTTTTGGTTTATGTCTAAGAGCTGAAGTAATTTGAACTTTTAAAAATGTTTAGAGGCAGTCAACTGGACTCTTGTTGCATTTCAGTGCTGAAGAACAGGCCATCTTGTCAGTTAATGGAGCTCTATTTTCTATGCGTTTAGACCTTTGCTTCACTAATGTGTTCTGCATTACTCCCAACTGTAATGTTATCTTGTACAGTACCAGTCTGGTGGATACATTCCACCAATACCTTCAGCATAATTGTGGTATAACTTGGTTATCTGTATTTTAAATGCAAATCTGTTTGAACTCACATATTGTGTGAAACTAGTGGGACTATTTCATTAAAATTGAGGACTGTTGACTTCTACTTAACTATAAAACATCTTCTTTTGGGAAAAGGCTATCTTTAGACTCTTTTTTTTCACTGAAAATACTTCACAAAACTTATTCTGCATTAATGATAATATTTCACTTTCTTTTCTAAATATTCATGGACCTTCAGGTGACGTGAGAGATGTAAATGACAATAGGTGAATACTATATTCTCCGCTATTCTCCCTCTAATAGTGGTAGCTAATCTTCCCCTAATCTTTCCTCATAACATTTCCTTTTGACCCATTTTCCAGATTTGCAATAATTTGATGCATAAAGCAAAATAATTACCATTCAATTTAGTGCCAATCAATTAATTTTGTAATCCTGTGGCTGTACGCTAACCCTTTGTTCTTACCAAAAGCACAGTAATCCTTTATTGAATTTGTCCATGCAGGTCTCCACACTTTTTTTCCTCTCATCCTAGGTACATTTGAATTTGAATTTGAATCGCAAATTTGAATTCCAAGATACTGTATAATGGTCTTACATTAGTTTTGTTTTAACTTATTTAATGCTCCTATTAAAAACAATGTTTATTCTCATGTACTGTTTGTCTCTTTCACCGAACATTTACTTTCTGTTGAAGAACACATCAAACAGCAACTAATTTGAGGCTGCTTATTTAGGTCATATTTGTGCTCACTTAACAAACATTTGTACTAAACATTCCAAATCTTTCCATAACATATCACTTTGAACCATTTGCATATTTGTAATTTTTTTATGCATTAAAGAAAATAATTACCACTGTAATTTCAGCTCTATGAGTTGCTATCCTGCGTGAAGGCTCTATACAAATGCAAGTTGCTGTTTTACTAACCTGCAATTAAGGATTTAAATAGTTGACTTTTGTAGGTTTCTACCCTTTTACATGTTTCTGGAAAACATACAAGCCTTTTGATTATAAAACCTTGACCTATGACATAATAAGAAAGATTCTAAATTAACAAATCTGTTTAGATATTCATTATAACATTGTTAAACAGAAAATTGTACATCTTTTTGCTGAAATTATTCAGGGATTATCAATTGAAAATATTTGCCACTTTCTCCTACGTCCAAACTTCAGCTTTGGCCTTTGGTCATTTTACTATAATTTTTATTACCCATTTTGTGGTAATATTTAATTTAGGGATTTGAAGATGAGTGAGGGCATCTTGAAATAGATTTGTTCTGTGCTATGAAGCCAGAGTAGCTGGTGTGATAGGGGAAAGGAGTTTAGTGTGGGCAAGTATACGGGCGGCAGAGATCTGAATCAGTTGTAGTTTGTGGATAGTGGAGCTGTGGAGATCAGCGAGGAGGGCATTGGAATAGTTAACGTGACTAAGGTGTGGACAAGGGTTTTGGCTGCATTGGGGTGGCCGGAGGCGGGTAATGTGACGGAGGTGGAGGAAGGAGGTCTTGGTTAGGGACCAAATGTGGGGAGGCAGGACAGATTATACCAGATGTATTTTAACTTTAGCGGGATTTCAGACAATATGGCTATTTTTAAATAATCGTCATTCTGTTTAAAATCAATAAAGCAGCCCCAATAATAGCCTTCTGTGTCTCACGTTCTTTTTCTTAATAATGGGGGGGTGTGGATTTATGTTCACTGTATGTGAGTAACTTACTAAAATAATCCTTTACCTTTCATCATCTTAGTCTATTAATTAACAAATGTAAGATTTTAAATGGCTTTCTGAGTTTTTAACTGTTGTAAATAGGATTATATAAATGAAAATACTGTATTTGAATTTTGATGATGTACATGTTCATACAGCTCAACACTGGATCTGTGATGCCTTTTGAATTCTCTATGTACTGATTGTTTTTCCTCCCTTTGCAGCTGCTAAAGCAACAACATAATCAAAGAGGAGAAGCAGACAGCATCCAAATCAACCCTTCATTCCAAGGCAGTGTGAACTCGTCCACTGAGATTTTTCACAGGATTATTTTTTGAAAATAAAAAAAACTGTACAACTCTACCCTTGGCAGATTCTCCTCCTTGATCCCCCCACCCTGCAAAAAAAAAGGATTGCAATGTAGGCTTGCAAACAACTACATGTGATTTAATGTGTAGCTCCATTGCACAGTAAATTGTCATTCATGTCTTAAATTTAGTCTGCACTGTGCCAAGTTGAATGTATGTTGCAGGGAAAAAAAACTTAGCAAAAGCATTGAAGCCTAATTTGTGTACATTTCATTGTTCTAGGATTTGTGAAACAATGTCGCCAAGTAGATTTGATAAGCTTGTTTCACAATGAAAATGATTTGGAGGAACACAACTATCACCCTTGTGTAAATTAAGATAGTACTTGAACTTGTTTTCCTACATTTTTGTTTTTTGGAGAGATGAAGAGGATTAGTCAATATAGCTTGAATACTGAGTGCATTCATGACAGTAGGTGGTTAGAGCTTCGGAGCTGGTGAGGGTGGGTTGCACAAAAAAAGCTGCTAAAGTTGAATGAAATACAGCATTTTGATGAGGCCAATTGATATGAATGTTGCATTGCCTGACTTTGGTTATGGAATATTTTTTTAATTCTCCAAATAAAACAATGCTAAAACACATTGGTTGACCATAACATTTTGGGGAGAGGAGATGAAGGCATTTGGCCTAATCTAGAATACTACTTGGTTTGTCCTGTCCAGATTCTTACCATGACTTTCGGTTGTATACCACAAACCGTGCTGCATTATGCTGGGATCCCTTGCAACAAGTAGACATCCTTAAAATATTTTGAGTTCAAGCAATGCACTGGCTGCAATTTTAATAGGTTAATTGTTTGCACTGTAGGCGAAACCTTTCACAATATAGTAGACTGCTTCTGACACAAAGTAAATGATTGAGAGATGCATGTTACTCCTCATCTAGCATGAGGCTAATGCTTGGTGCATGCTAGTGCTCACCGCATTCGCTGATAGCCAGTGCAATGCAGCGTGGTTGACGAAATGCACTGTTCTTTGCTACAAATGCGACATAGTTGCAAGATTGCGGAATGCAGTTTGTTATTGGATCATTTATAAGTTTGGAAAAACTCAGTATTAGTCTAGATGTCTAGTACCAGAAAATACAGGAGTTGACGAGACCTTCCCGTGTCTTTAAAAACATTTTATCCATAAGAGAATTCAGGTTTAACCCTAGTGTTTGCCTAGAGACCAAGATGGGTGTAGAATAAGAGGTTATTAGCTTAATGTAGGCAGAAAAGACTAAAGCATGCTAACTGGTGGAATAATTGGTTTCTCGACTAGAGTAGGTTATGGGATTAGATGATTTGTGGATGAAATGAGAAAGCAATAAATTCAATAGGATGCTCCCCGGTAAAGAAGCATCCCCATGGACGAAAGCAAAAATCTCAATCTCTAAAATTGAACAAAATTTTGCTGAGATTTACAGGAAGTTGTACAGCCTGAAATTTAAAATGATACATCGTTTTTATAAAGCCAGATCCCATTGTGAATTCAATTGGGATTATCTCCCTGTCATTCATGTAATTCTGTTTGCAGAAGACTCCACCAATTAGTTTTTCTACATTTAGTGCGTAAATCCTTCTGATAGTGTACATGGCTGACATAGGATGTTTTTGTGTGAATAAGTGAGTTAATTTATGTATGAAAGTAAATTAGTTATTTACAAGCGAAGCCAAACTGTAGGGAGTTCAGGTGTTTTTTGTGTAGACAGGATAAATGAGCAATATGTGCTGAATACTTTAAACAAAAATAGGTAATTGTTTATTTTGTGAAATTTTGGCAATGAAAAAGGCAGATAATTTGATGTAGTGTAACGTCCCCAGTGTGGTTACTGGGTCCCATCTTCACTTCTCTCAGATGCTGGAGGCTGACTGACAAATCAGCCAATAAAGCAACTGTGACTTAAAGTATAATGGCTAAGTCCTCCCAACATTACTGTGGAACAGTTGTATCTGGAGCCTTTTCAGTCAGGGATGATCGATCCACTTGGATTTAATGTTCTTGCTACTGATCAACCAGTCAGTTTATCAAGACACCTGATGAAAGGCAACATAGATGCACTATCAACAGCATTAATTTGATCTTTGGTTTCTAATCTGCCAGCTCAAAATGCACTTTTTTTTCATAAAAAAGTCAGCCAATGTTTTTGACTGTAAATGGCTAGTTCATTTCCTGAGGTGAAACAATTTTTTTTAATTTGCAAGATGTCTACACTGTCTTAAAAATAATATATAATTAACTGAATTTTACATTTTCACTTGTCAGATTTTGTGTTCAGAGAGAATGGTTACTGAGTATTTAGTAGAAAGGTTGATTTGTCTCTTGCTCTAATCTCTCTGAATAAACTAGAGGTATTGCATGTGCCTACAACTCCTGAAGTTTTACAAATACCAGCAATGAAGCATCAGTACATTATAAAAGCGATGCAGTTCAATTCTACTGAACATTATGTATTTTTATATGGTAAAACACTTTAACATTGCTGTTTCAAGTACCTGTTTCATGATCTTTGTATGATTTTTTTTGTGGAATTTCAAATATGAAATCTTCTGCATCAAAGTTGCCATGGCAGATATCTGGACAGGACAATACACTGGGTGTTAAATGCAAATGAATTCTCAATTGTTCAATAGTTAAATGCCTTGCTGTCCTGATTGCATTACAGTGTATTCTTCAAGTGCTTATTGTAAGTTTGTTCCTCAGAACTTATTGTCAAAATGAGTGGTTTTTAAGGCATAAACTCAATTGAATAAACCTCGTATTTATTCATGGTGATCAACTAAATTATTTGCATAATATGAACAATGCTATCTATGGCAATTACTGAATTGTTCTAAATTTGACATGAGATGACACTAAGGTTTTCCCGCCTGTGGAATATGGTGCAGAATAAGTCGTACAGAGAAAGGCACATTAAATTCTGTTTGGTTAAGCAATTTAGTTTTAACTGACTGCATGCTGTAAATGTATTTGTGTTTAAATAAACATGACTTTTGTCTGGGAATTCAGTGAACTTTTGAAAACTCTTGAAACAAAATGAAGGAATACAGCACTTTGTCAAGCCCCAGCAACCTTAACTGGTCTAACAATGTTCCCTCCCTCCATTATGAAGTCCTGTAGCTCAGTGTTTAGAGCACTCGCCTCGCAAGCGAGAGACCTGGGTTCAATTCCTGGCAGAGCGAAATGTTGGGAAAAATTTCCTTACTCCACACGCCTCTGTTTACCTAGCAATAAGTAGGAACCCGGTTGTTAGTCGATTGGCGGATCACTTTTCCGGGGATAATAATCCCTCAAAAAAAATAGGAATAATTTGGTCACTCAATCCACGGCAGTTTGTGAGACACTGCTGTGCGCAATTGGCTGTCCCGTTTCCCTCACAAATATAGAATCAATTCACTTTACAGCATATTCTGTGAAGTGCTTTGAGACTTCCAGAAGACGTGAAAAGTGCTTTATCAAATGCAAGGATTATTATAATGTACATAAATAACTTTGTGTTCTGGTGAAGAAATTATCAATTGTATTATATTTTCCCAGAATTGAAAGTTGCTATACACAAATTGCTGTTTTTTCTATTTGACTTTACTGTTCAACAAAATGTAAAGTTTAACAGAGTCAAGGAAGCAAGTTGAAACTGTAAATCAGCTTTAGTACTTGGAAAACATTTAACGGTCAAATCAGAATTCTAGCCAAAGTTTAGCCTACTTGCCTGAAACGAAATCTAAAATCCCAATGCACGTTAAGAATTGTGGATTTACGACTTGTCCTTGGTTTGGAGCTCCTGCATGTGCAATGGAGGAGTTTTCTTCAGCCCATTTGTGCAGTCCAGGACCAAGTTGTCAGTTGAATTTGTGATAAAAAGGGTAAGGCTGCAGCCTACATTGACATGTAACTGAGCACGCAGAGACAGTCAACTTTATAGTGGGCAGACAGATCACTGCCAAGAGCCCTTCTGTGAGGATCTGGAATGAGCAGATAGTGACAAATAAACCTGGTACATGACATTGGATTTGGACCTCCAGAATATCAGTGTGACCAGGTGTTGGCTCATATATCTACAGGGTAATCATCTGAGTTTAATGAACACATGTTGCTGAGGAAGACGTAGGTGGAAATTACTGGCTACAACGAACATAATTCATCAGGCATTGAGCAGTCCATTGGAAACCATAGCTGGGATTGACAAAATGAGACCCATTTCTAATGTTTTGAGAGAAGGTGTCGATTTTTGTTTGAGTACCAATAAAACAAGGGGTGAGTATTCAGAAAATCAAATTCCAACAGAAAGAGAATGTTTAATGTAATGTCAGTCATGATACTCATCCGATCAATAGTTTTGGACACCACAGACTCAAGAGTTGACCGTTAGCACAACTATCAGTGAGAGTTGTTCGGAAAGGAAATGTCTCATGTTTATCCATTTTTTTCTGTGTAAAGGAACCCCTAATAAAGAGCTATAAGGTGGCCCTTTAATTTTTCTTTCCCATCCTATGAAGGTTAGTATCTGCCAACAACTTCTCCTTTCACTGCCACTCCATCGCATGCAATGTTCCTCAGCTCCATACTCTGTCTTATATCTACATACTCCCACTCAGCAATGTCATCCACAGGCATAGGGCTAACTTCCACATGTATGCAGATGACACTCAACTCTATCTCTCTGCCTCCACTGCTGTTCTGACCAATTGTCTGTTGGACATTAAGTCCTGGACGAGAGGTACCCTCGCCAGTTAAATGTTGACTTGTTTGGTTCCCATCAGCATCTTCTCACTTCAGGCGCCGACAGCCTCAATCTACATGTGCACTCCACCTCACAGCCAGTGTGGAAACTTTTGTGTTTTATTCAACTCTCAACTATCCTTTAAACCCCACATCCGTGCTCTGGCCCGATAAGCTTTCCTACGCTTCCGCCATAGCCCTATCCTCGCTCGCTCCACTGGCTCCCCGTTCCCCCCGAGGATTGAGTTCAAGATCTTTATCCTCACTTTTAAATCCCTCCACACTCTGTCCTCATCCTACCTCTGCGACCTTCTTAAACCCTACCAATCCGCCCATTCTCTCCGCTTGACAGGCACTGGTCTGCTTCAACCGATTGCCCTGCCAGCTCCACCATCGGCAGTCGAGCTTTCAACCTTTCTGCCCCCAATCTCTGAAATTCCATCCTGGAGTCCCTTCACCTCGCCCTTTTTCTCACTTCTTTCAAGATCTGTGTCAAGACCTTCCTTTTTGACCATGACTTCAGTCATCTTTGAGATGTTTCAATGTGAAAAGGGCCTTATAAAAACATGTAAGTCATTTCCTTTCATCTGTACTAAGCAAGAGGACCTGGGTTCGAATTCTGGGCAGGGTGAAACGTTAGACAAGTTTCCTTACTCGACACACACGCTTCTGTTTACCTTTACTGCTGTTTAGTTGATTAGCAGATCACTTTTCCGGGGATAATAATCCCTTAAAAAATAATAATAATGTGGTCACTCAATCCACGACTGTTTGTGGGACACTGCTGTGCGCAATTGGCTGCCGCATTTCGCCCACAAAATATACAGTCAATTCACTTTCTAGTATATTCTGTGAACCGCTTTGAGACGTCTTGAAGATTTGATAAGGCGCTATATCAAATGCAAGGATTATTATTATCTCTACCTACCCCCGCGCCACTTCTCTAGAATCCAACCGCTAGCTCAGGTGCAAACCCTTGACTTTTGGGCCTGTGGGTCTGCTCCCATGATACATTTATATAGTGCAATTCGTTGTTGTATGGTGTAATATTGTAACATTAAAACCAGGTGAGTTAATGTCGTTGACACTTCCAATGCGTCAACTACAAGCAGTTTCAAATACCAACTAATACAAACTTCTGTTTCAGCATTGTCCACTGATTACTGGCACTGTAACAGCCAGGACAGCTGTTCAAGTTGAACAATACATTGTATGTAAAATAAAGTGGTATGAAATTGCACCTGTTATTTGTGTTTGAAAATGGTGAATTCACAGTGACTAACATCTGAAATGAATTCTGTGTAATTTATATCAGTCCTTGAGGAAAGTGTCCCAACTTGGAGTAAATCACGTTCTTTCTAACTTGCTGACAGCAGATGATCAATCGTGTGATTCCAGTACAATCTGTCAATTACAAAATTTTGAAGAGAAAATTTCAATTGGCTGTTCTGTTGCTCTGCTGGAGATACAGTTTTCAGTCTCTGGTTAAGCAGAGTTTCCACTAAGAAAAAAAAGTAATTATTCACTTTTTTTGAAAAACACACACAAAACACGGAGTTTACAAAATTATGCTTTCCATCACTTATAAATGCATGTCTGTCAGTCGGTAAAGTCCTTAAGGAGCTTGGTTGCTAATTTGGTAATAAGGGAGCATATGCTCAGTCAATACTTTCAAAGTCTTTTTAATTCTGTTTGCTAATGGTTGTTTTTCTAGCTGTGTATTGTTTAATCACAATTTCAACTGGCATTTTTTATTTCGGGTATCAATTCACAAGATTGGTTTGGATTAAGAATTTGTTTTGGCCCATTTGATCTCATTCTTCCAGAATACCAGTCTGTACTGTTCTCCCATTAAACTGTTTCTTAAATAAGTTCAGCAAGACCTCAGTCAAAAAGTGTTTCACACAGAGGGTTATTCGGATATGGAAAGGACAATTGAGGCTGGACCATAGAATTTAAAAGGAAGAACTAATTACCTTTTAAAGCATCATATCACATTAAAACATCTCAAAACACTTCACATTATAGTATCTGTTTTGTAGGCAAATGCACAATAACGTTTCCACAAACACCCAGAAGGTGAATGTGCAATTACTATAATCTTCCAGGATACTGGGTGAAATTTCTCTTCTTTTCAAGTAAGCAATTGGATAAACAGATAAGGAACGTTAGAGGGAAGAGGGATTAGAGCACAGCAGTGTCCCGCAAACAGTTGTGGATTGAGTGACTAAATTACCCCGGAAAAGTGATCCGCCAATCGACTAACAATTTGGTTCCTACTTCCTGCTAGGTAAACAGGTGTGTGGAGTAAGGAAACTTGCCTAAGATTTTGCCCCATCTGGAAATAATTCAATAATTGGAGCAAGTTCTAATTCTAGCATTTTCCATTTATCTGCAAATGTGATGCCTTCTTTAGTTAAAACCTCCCCAGTTTGTTTTTTCCCCAGCGCCCTGGGACATCTTTCTGATGTGTAGGCCACTAAACAAGTGTAATTTGTTGATGATGTTGTTGTTGTTGTTGTTGTGAACGGGTGGGTGACTCAACCTATGAATGCTGAATCTGCAGTGATACCTTTTATACAGACAATCTGTGGTCTAATAGGCAGGGCACCAGATGGCAGCCTAACACAGCATTTTTCAAACCACAGTGACTCGAGAAGGATCAATAGCCAACCTAGGTTCAGCAGAAAGCACGTGTCTCGGATAATTCTTGCTGACAATTAGCTTGCAGGGTCGTGTGCATGGCTAAACGTGTTATATGTATAAGGTAAACAATTCTCTTGTCAAGCTTTTTGAATACTCAGTTGAAATAGTCATCCAAAATAATACTTGCCTGCATTACCGGACAGAACAAGTATCCTCGATTGATAGGATTTTTTGAGCGACAATATAATGACGTAGATTTGTATATTAAGCACAATTCCCACAACAGTTTTCCATATGTTTAAATTAATACAACTTGCACCTTCTGATGTTTCTACCCTTCGTAACTGCACTGGGCAGTTTCACAATCGTTTTCACCAAAGTTTCAGGAATTGATTGAGGAAAAACTCAAATCTCACACTGATGTGTTTTGCCTTTATACTGCTAATATTTGCTGTTGTTTGAGTTTTGTTGCTGTCTAAATGTGGTATTCTTTGTATGGTCTTTGCTAAAAAAGACTCACACTGTTGTTCATGAGTGGTTCAGTACAAATCTGGGTTCAACACAGGCCTAACAAATTCTGAAGAACTGGAAAGAGCCTAAGACTTCCAGCATGTGTCAGCAAAACATTTTCAAAAGTTT